TGAAGATATACATTTACATCTCAGCTTTCATTTATGGTTGAATGGAAATTTAAATGAAACTTGAAAGGTGACAATGTGTGTGCAGATTTGTTGTCGGTTTGATGTGTGGTACTTTGTGCGATCTGGAACGAAGTGAAGTAAAATCAAAGACTACAAAGTGGAGCCCAACTACCTCCGTTTGTTAGAATCAACTGCTGATGTAGCAGCAGCACCACCTGCTGGTGGTATGTGTGTAAAGCATAATGAATTTAGGCTACCTTCATGCTCAATTTTATATTTTCTAATACATTTGATACTTACCTGTTTTTGACCAGGTTATACTGGATGCATAATTACAAAACAAATGTATATAATAATGACAGCTAACAATACTTGGGCCTAATTTAAAATGGACAACATTGATGATATGTTTCAGCGAGCATCATTGGAAGGCTGAATGAGGTCGTTGGCCCAATCCAGTAAGGTCCTGAAATGGTGTAAATATGAATGGGACAGCACTTTGCTGCGATATACCACGTTACCATGACAACGTCAAAAAATATGATGTACAATTGTGGGTAATTAGTTAATATTTTTTCCTCCCTGATTTGAACGTCTTCCAGGCTTTTGCCTCACGAGACGAGAGGTCATTTTAAATCATCTATTTACTCGTTTACGTTGTTTACGGATATGGACCAATAGGAAGTGACCCAAGAGCCCAGCAGCTATGGAACGGAAGCACGCATTCTGTGTTCAGTGTAAACATGTGAACGGAGTGATGATGGGACGCTGGTGCTGAGCCGTCACAACACCACAGCCACACTCACCTCTCTCACGTGCTCCGGTCCTCAGCTACACCACACTAACAATGGGAGGACAGACAGAGACTGGCTGGAATACATAGACATGCACTCCAGAGGGTGAGTATATGACCGAGTCATTTAACCACGGCATGCTTACACATTCACTCTGACTGCATCCACCACACACCATTTATTAAGCAGTAACGGAGGTGGAGAGCAGAAACGAGTTCAGCTCCGTGCTCAGCAGTTGGGCTGATGCGGCGGAGGAATTAAACGGCAGAGGTAATGCGGCGGAAATAACGATAAAGCCAGACATCCGCGTCCATAATGAGTATCGTTGGAAGTGCAAAACCAGGGTTGGATTAACCTCCTGGGGAAAAACATTTGTTGTGTGTACCTGCATTGTGCACGAGCTCTGATGCGTGTTAAGTATTTACGCACAGTCACAGCACATAGACTACACATGGGGGGTTATTATACTTATACTGCACTTAAAGCAGGCTATGTGTGCTGAAATACGACCCATCTGCAGGTTTGCCCTGTGCTAGTTTGTTTGCGGGAAATTGATTGCATATATTTATTCAGAATTATGAATCATCTGACCCATAAGGGTCTGGGGCCCTGGGGCAGTTTTCTTGCTTTGCCTGGTTGCTAATTGTTGCATCTTTTTTTGTCCCATTGGACCAACACTTAGGACCAAAATCCACATGTGACTGCTCCACTGATCAAAAGGCTGTTTTGTCCATGCCCATATCTCAGCTTTCACTGACAAATTATTACTATGTGTATTCAATTTCCACATCTCTACCAGCCTACATAACCCCCACCACCCACCTGCAGTCCTCTACTGGTGTCTCCTCATGCAGATAGTTTTTATTTTAGAGTTCAAGATATACTGTATCTGCCTTTGAAAAAAGTCCATCTCCACCACAATACAATAGATCAGTCATTCTCAAGGACTGGGTCGGGACCGCAGGTGGGTTGCAGGAGATTTAGGGTTGCCAGATAAATTACATTTGTGCTTTGGGGGGAGGGGGGTTCTTGGATCAAAAACAAAAAACAGAGTCTTCCCAAACAGCTGCTGCACAAACATGGAAACGGCCTTGTTAACTTCATAGACCGCCAACTCACTCTTGTTTTCCTCTTTTTATTTTTAACCCACTGCGCTTTGCTTTCTGTCTTACAGTCTTACTGTCTTTATTATTGTTAGAAATGTAACAGAGAAGAGAAAATGTTGAGGACAACTTGGTTTGTTCCACCCCTTAACACCAAAAACAGCCACAAATTCATCTACTGCTTTTTTGGCATAATCATTTTACACTTTTATTTCTCTTACTCACTTGTATTTATTTTTTTGCCATTTGGCCATTTCACCCTGAATATTTAAACTGACCTCGGTGTGTCAACATTTAAGAGGACTTCAACAGAGACAGTGCCTTTAATCAGAGGATCATATTTAGCATTTTTAATTTAACCATTCAGTGCAACGTATGGTCATTAATATCAGCCATCCTGTAGAAATATACTACATTTATTGATCCTTTTGCACTTGCTTGATGACATCAGTGCAGTTATTGTCCAGAACTACCTGTAAAACTGAAGAGTGAATGCAATAAAATGTGAACAGTGAAACTGATCTTTTTTGTCATTTGTCCATTTTGATTTTCTCATACAGATTACCTCTTTGTTTAAGTCTCTTTTCATGAAATGTTTTATAAGCCCCAGCAGGCTTAATGACATTAAGTGTCTTTTTCGTCACCTTTACACCTGGAAATTAATTGGTACACTGGCTTTAGGGGGTTAACAAACTATGACACCCATTTAGTTTGACAATGAAAGTGTTAAAGTCAGATTATGAGATAATAAAATGGGTTGAGAATAAATGACCCTGTCTACAAAATGACGTTCCGATACGACTAAACTGTACTCTCAATTATGTTTTGAGGGAAATGTATTTTCTTCTGGACCGAACGTTCACAGTTTGAAACCAGTTTGAAACGTTAAGGGGAAAAAAACGAACTGGTTTAGTATAAAACACTGTTCGGCTTAAAATTACTATGAAATTGATACAAAACAAAAATGCAACAAAACTGCTTTGTTAGCAGTAGGCTACACCACTTTAAGGCACACCACAGAAAACAGGAACTTGACAGAAACAAATGGAGAACTGGAACTCGCACAGACAGATATAGTTTGAACATAATTTGAAGAACTCAGCACTTATTTCCCTTTGCATAGCCGTTCTGCTCTAACCAAACTCTGTCAAGCATGTTTACATCTGTTTAATCAAACTATAATATTTCACGACAAACCGGATACCGGTGGGACCATATATTTATTTATTTTCATAGCAGGGAAAAGAATGGCTCTGTATCACAGGTGTGTAAGAAACACTGAATGCAGAGAGGCCGCCATGTTCTGCAGAGACGCCTGTGACAACTCTGTTCTGTTGTTGGAAAATGCACTTGAACTTCAGTATTTTGTCATCTGTCTAAATCCTCTATAAAGTGTCCTGCTACAGCAGATCCACACTGACGCTGCTCTCCACAAATATTGAAGATAATATGCAGGACATAACACAAGGAGGCAGGAAGCCATCAAAAGAACCCAGTGATGCAGGTTATATGTTCTTAAAGCGCTATCCCGCTGTCTGATATTTACATTGCATTGATTTTAGTGTGGGCCTACTGCAGTCTATGTATTCACTGTGCTATTGTGGTTATGTTTGGAAAAACAGAATTATCATGAAAAGAAATATCAGATCAGATTCTGTCTAGACAGGTGCTCAGTTACACTAAATGCAGAAATTATTAAAATATTTCTTTTTCTGGTCTTTCTAGAAAGCTGAAACGCAATACTGAGCTTCTCTGCTCATGTAACTGCGTGTCTACATAATGCTACTGTGTAAGTGAAAAATCTCCAGGGGTAGTAGTGTTGCTTTAAAACGTTTTTTTTATTACCAGTCATGATTATCCGTCACAACACAAGCATCCATAATGTTTTTTCTCATACCAGGTTGATTGATTGAAGACATGTTTCCTATTGATTATTGAGTTCCACAAGGTGGAGCCATATGGATTAAAAGTTAAGGGTAAATGTAATCTTCCACTAGTATCATTTTCGTTAATACAATTCTGTCGGGAAATGTTTGGATTAACAACATTGCACCTGAACAAAAACCCGACCATTCAACTTTAGCTCAGTAAAACTGGTGAAGATGGATTTAGTGAGGACTGTGATGGGAATCCAAGGGTCATCATATTTAACATACGTATTAGCTGCAGTTCTGAACAAGTTAGTTTTACACCTAATATGATGTATTTTTTTTTTTCAATTGAGGCCCCTGTAGCCCTTTAAGGTCCCATTTCAATTGAGTCAAGAAGAGCCAAGGAAGTGAAGACATTTTAGAGACATGAGCAGTAGTGAGGTTTCAGTACAAAGACCACAACGTGTCAAGAACACATCATATGGCGAGAATTTCCATTCCTCAGTGCATCAACTCACCTCACTTTGAAGATGAACTACAGTCTGTATGTAGCCTATTTAGTTCGAAATGTCACAGAGTTGCACAATCTCTGCTACGCTGCGTTCTAGGTAGCGCTGCTGTGTTTCTCTTCACTTTGACTCTGACTGTGATGCAGATCGCTGTAGCAAGCTCAAAGAAATTATACTTGCCCCAATTTAAAAACAAAAAAGTGTCATTATTTTTACATTATATTATATTATTTGATTGAAATATAATTTTAGAGATTTATAAAAGACTAAAACATTGAGGTTCTTCCCCACGTTCATGTGTTTTTGAGAACTAGAGAAGCAATTTCTGATAAAAAAATATGTATAGGATTTGAATGGGGTTTGTACTGTTTGCAATAGCTGAGTCAAATACAATATCTCAGCCTTAATAATATATAATGAAAAGACAATACCCAACCACAGCCTGTTCACCCTGCTGCCATCTGGCAAGAGAAGTATCTACTGCCGTAAACTCCACGATGTATAAATGACATGGAACTTTCTGTTATTACAAGGTTATTTTATTGTCATTGTAGAACAGGGTTGCACAACAAAATACAGATTGCAGTCCCATTTTGCTACACAACAAAACACAAAAATACCAAGAACTCTATTATATACAGTATGTTTCCAGTCAGGATGCTTTCTATTGCTGTATATATATGTATATATATATGTATATATATATATGTACTGTGATTATACTGTGCATATTATACTGTGCATATATATATATATAACTTCAAAATGACCAGTGTATGAAAGACGATGGGCTGTCTTACCTCAAACAGCCCTTGAAGAAGTGACCTGATGAAATGCCCTCACTTCCCAAAAACGTCTCACTCTCGAGGTCTAAAACTTTCATGTCTCCTCACAAAGTAACACATACACATGTAATCTCTCCTGCTTTATTAGAGGAAATACATTTCGCATTCACATTTGCATTTAGAAAACATTTTTTGGGACATGACTGCCAATTAGCAAAAGGCTGTGGTGGTGTGTGCATTTTACTGAAAAGGTGTTGTAAGTGTGAAAAACAGCAAAGGTAGCTGGCACTTCCTGATTGGTGAACACGCACACACAAGTGAAATTGGGATGGCAGTGTGTTAGATTGTAAAGATGCATTTTGAAATGCAGATATATGGAGAGATATCCATTTAAAATACAAATGAAGTCAAAGTAAGGCTTTTGTATAGCCTGCTTAGTCAACAGCAGATGAGCAGCAGCCAAACAATGCATAATTTCATCATTCATCGCATCATTTCCCTGTGTGTCTGCTCAAGCTGACAGATCTGCACCTCTGCCAGGAAACAAGCACAACTTTGAGGTTACTTGAATGTCACTCCAGTATTTTTACTTTATTTTTTCATTCATCATTACATGATGTAGTACAAAACAGACAAACGTAATCATGATTTAGGAATGAAAATAGCAAGTGAATACATGGAGGCTGTGGCTCAGGAGATGGAGCGGGTGTCCTTTAATCACAGGGCTTCTAGTTCTATCCCTGGCTCCCCCTGACCGCATGCTGAAGTGTCCCTGTGCTAGACAATGAACCCCAGGATGATTCAGATGGACATACCAGCTCTGTCACTATCAGTGTATGAATGTGTGTGTGAATGAGAAGGTGTTGTCCGGTAAGGTAGAGAGGCGCTGTACAATTGCAGTCCAAATGAATCATTGCGGTATTACAATTTCTGACCCCAAAACTAGACATAACATAATTAAACAGAAGAAACTACAAAGACATTGAACAATGAAAATCTATTAATTATAATGAACTATAGTTAATAAAAAAGTTCCATTTAATAATATGGTATTTTACAGGCCAGAGCTTGAGACACACAAAAAACAACTCAAGGCCTATACCGCTTCTTTTTTTTTTAAGCTTTCAACTGCATCTCACAGTCTTCCTTAGCAGATGGAGTTACTTTTTGTTAAACTACAGTACTGTTGCCAAGGTCATAAAAATAGAAAACACATGTAAATGATCTTTAAGTTATTTGCGTCGTCAGTTCATTTCCTGAGTGCAGCAAAAGTGTTGGTCAGTGTTCAGATAATAAAAAGGAAGTTAAAGAAATAAATTGTCAAGGAAGTCGTTGAAATGAGGAAGCATCAGCGCTCCACCACCTCACTATGTATAAGCACACAGACTGACTGTCAATGTGGTCCAGCTGGAAAATACAACCAGGATAAACTGTGACTGTTTTCATGTGGTATTGACAGCATGTTGTTTTGTTCGTCAGGAGCTGGCTGAATTTAAGATGATCTATTGACATGTTGCTCTGACTGCTGGCAGTTGATATACTAAAGGACTGAAAGAACCGTACAAGAGAAGGATCGACATTCTGGAACTACTTCCCCACATCGTATACAGTAAGTGCAGTATTTGTGTTTCCTTAAGATAGACTTTTTGGACTTCACGGTTCCTTGTTTCAAGAATTACCCCACTGAGTTTTCCTTCAAATGAAATTGATATGGGACTCAGGAAAGGACTTGTAACATGCTGGATGGGGACTCTAAAAAATACAGTTTGTCCAGGTCTTTAGCTGTGGTGGAAAGTAATAGAGTACTGTACTTAAGACCAATTTTAGGTACTTTACTTTAGTATTTCCTTTTCTGCTACTTACTATGTCACTTCACTTCAGACAGAAATATTGTACCTTTATCTCCACTACATTTTTGAATAGCTGTCGTTACTTTGCAGATTAAAATCTAACAATAAAAACACATCAGAAGCTTATAAAATACATTAAAGAGGGAATCAGGGGTTTATACCCTTACACAAAAGTAGTGTCTACATTTGAGATGTCTATGAGTTCCAAGCAGTTGGTTTATTTTAAATAACTGTTTGAAACCAAAAGGAAAAAAGGTATGCAATATTTCACAAAATATATATTGATGTGTTTAGAACAACTTTGTCTTTGCTTCTTGCCAACCACATTATTCATCTCACAACCCGCCAGATTTCTGTTTTGACCGTTTAGAGGTAGGTTGGGAAACAATGAATTAAGCTACCTAACTGTAATTTATGAAATAGAATAGAACGATCCAATGTTTGCCATGGGTCCTGATTTAAAGGCTCTACAAAATATATTGAATTAAATAATATAGTATGATATAGTACAGCATAGTAGAGTATGGGATATAAAATAAGATATTCGTAATAAGTGCAAAGTAATAATAAGAATAATAGTAGTATAACATAACATTTCTATTGTAATATGATATAGTAAGGTACAGTATGTATAGTATGGAATGCTTTATATTAAGGTAGTTGTAATTTGCGTTAGCTAATAGGGTACTTATAAGTCCTAATAAGACACTTATTAACATTATTATGCGTTAGTAAGACTGAAAATGTAAATAATAGCATCATAACATTCATAGGTACATATAACAAACTTGTTAACAGTTTTTACTGGATTGTAACGTTTATAAAAGCCTTCTGAGTTTCTTATAATTGTTTATAATAGCATTATAAACTGATTTATAGAGTTTAACTTAGTTATCTACTATGGCATTTTTAATCCTTTGCTAAGCTTTTTTGTTAGGGTTAATACATCCTTTATTATACACTTATTAACAGTTAACTATACTGTTCACAGCTCCCCCATCTGGAGTGAGAAATATGTGCTGTCAAGGTTGATAAAATGTGGAGAAAGAATTATATATAAATCAAGAATTTTAGGGGTAAAGCACAAAAACAAACAATTATTTTTTAAACTTTCCATAATTTTCACGCAAATGGCAGCCACACGGGGTCCCAAAGAAAATGCTCTTTAAAACAAATGGGCCTCTGAAAAAAATTGGGCAAAAATTAGTACAACATTGAGGTCAACTTTTGTATTGGAAAATACATTTTGAAAACATGATTTAAAACATCACGAATCACATCAACAACAACAAAATAGTTTAATTGTAATATATTTGTAACATATTTTCACTTTTACAATGTGCAATTTACCTCATTGTTGAAATATACTGTAATTGATACTATAACTAATTGTAATATATGCGGGTGTAGAGAAGGGAGCTCCTGTATGAGAGCAGCTGTGCTCAGTTAACCTGGCTAAAAAAAATAATTAATTAATAAAAGTATAATAATAATAATAATAATAATAATAATAAACTTCTAATGTTAAGTTCTTGTGACAACAATCTAGCAATATTAACTGGCCCCTGACACCAGCTGAGTTTATCCAACAGACTTAAAGCTCAACTAATCAACATTATTTTATATTATCAATGGATAAACAATGTAAACTACATCTTGAGCAGTAATTCTACAATGCAGCAAATGTCCGACCAGCTGATATGGCATGCTACAGTGCCCTCCAGAATTATTGGCACCCTTAGTGAATTTGAGCAAAACAGGCTGTGAAAAAAATTCTTTGCTGTTTATCCTCCTGGTCTTTCACTCAAAATATTCACAAAAATCTTACCTTTTCATTGAAGTAAAATTATTCAAAGAAAAAAATTTTTTTTCTCCAAAACATGAGTGCCACAATTATTGGCACCCCTAGAAAAACTCATGATTAAAATCTAACTGAAGTATAATTCCAGTCATATTTTACATTTTTAAGTTCACCTGTTTGATTAGGAACTCTTAAGTGGTCAACCATGACTTCCTACTTCACTGGGGTATAAATATGAGGTGACACAGGCCAAATTCCCTTAGTCATTCATCACTATGGGAAAGACCCGAGAACACAGTGACGATGTGCGACGAAAAGTTGTTGAGCTGCACAAATCAGGAAAAGGATATAAGAAAATCTCTAAACAGTTGAAAATACCCATTTCCACTACCAGGGCAATAATTAAGAAGTTTAAAGTGACGGGAGATGTTAAGAATCAGCCTGGAAGAGGACGTGTGTGTACATTGACCCCACGCACCGTGACGAGGATGGTTCGACTGGCAAAAGAATCTCCAAGGATCACAGCTGGAGAACTGCAGAGGTTAGTTGAGTCTTGGGGTCAGAAAGTCTCCAAAACTACCATCAGACGCCACCTACATCACCACAAGTTGTTTGGGAGGGTTGCCAGAAAAAAGCCTCTGCTGTCAATCAACAACAAACTAAAGCGCCTACAGTTTGCCAAACGTCACTGGGACTTTCAATGGGACCGGGTTATATGGTCAGATGAGACCAAAATCGAGCTTTTTGGCAACAAACATCAAAGGTGGGTTTGGCGTAGACAGAAAGATAGCCATACAGAGAAGCACCTCATACCCACTGTGAAGTATGGTGGCGGATCTTTGATGTTGTGGGGCTGTTTTTCTTCCAAAGGCCCTGGACATCTTGTTATTTACCTGCACATTTTTTCCTCGTGAGTTTAGAATGACAGATGTTGGTTATTACATGGTATCATGGACTCCATCAAATACCAGCAGATATTAAATGAAAACCTAGCAGCCTCTGCCAGGAAGCTTAAAATGGGCCGTGGTTGGACCTTCCAGTAGGACAATGATCCGAAGCACACCTCAAAATCGACACAAAAATGGTTCACCGACCACAGAATAAAGGTTTTGCCATGGCCATCACAGTCCCCCGACCTAAATCCCATAGAAGATCTGTGGGATGAGCTGAAGAGGAGAGTCCACAAGCGTCGACCTCGGAATTTGAAGGATCTGGAGAGATTCTGCATGGAGGAATGGTCTCAGATCCAGTGCCATGTGTTCACCAACCTCATCACGCATTATACAGTAGGAGAAGACTCAGAGCTGTTATCTTGGCAAAGGGAGGCTGCACAAAATATTAAATGAACGGGTGCCAATAATTGTGGCACATATATTTTTGAGAAAACTATTTCTTTCAGGATAAGAATTTAATGTTTCTTTCAATTATGTTACTTCAGTTAAAGGATAGATTTTTGTGAATATTTTGAATGAAAGATCATGAGGATAAACAATAAAGACATTTTTTCACAGCCTGTTTTGCTCATTTTTACTAAAGGGTGCCAATAATTCTGGAGGGCACTGTATATATTCAGACTGCTGTTTGGTTTCTTGTATGTTTTAAATATTGTATGTTTTCTGTCAGAAAAGATCCTTCAGCTCAGACTGATCCCAAACTTTAGCCAACTTGCCATAGTGGACAAGCCTGAAACAGTCTCTGGCATCAAGGTCTTCTGTATTGCTCAACAGTTTTGCCCTGCTAGTATAGTATATTAGTGGTCAGATGTTGGTCAGTCTTTTGATTGGTTGGTCTGTCCAATGTTTGGTAATAAACCAGAATATCTGATCATCTACTGGCCACATTGCCTTGAAATTTGGTATTGTCATCCATGGTCTGTAGTCTTGAATTTTTTTAGCCAGCCTTGTGACATGACTTCATGGATGGCAGTGTCAGTCTGTTGGTCCACCACTTTGCTTCATGCTGAAATATCTCAACAACTACTGTATGGAATTCCATAAAATGTTGGACAAACGTCCATGTTCCCCAAAGGATGAAGCCTTCTAACTACTAATACCTGGTCATTATTCAGAGCCTTATACCACAGAACACAAAACACACCGGGAACATGAATAGAAGCACACAACATTTTGATTTGATGCAAATAAAAGAATCTTAATCTGATGTTAGGGAAGAATTTCTGACCAAATTAGCTGTAACATAAATATGGTCTATTTAGAGAAAGCAGGGTATGCTTCAGGGCGTGTATGCTTTAGATCGTGGCTACCTCGTTCCTTGGTTCCTTCAAGTCTGGTAGTTGTCCGTGTTTTTGTTTTGGAACTTCAACCTTTCACAGTGTTTTCAGTTCATTAAAGTTAATTGTAACATTTTGGTCGCCTAACATGTCTTGTTCAGTGTTCGGTTGTACTTAGCTTCACCCGCTCTTGTCACTTCTGGCTCAAGAAAAAAAGAAATCAAAAAAAGAAAAGAAAATGGCGACAGCTGAAATGCCACACTAATGGCTTCAAAACAGTAATCCACAAACCAATGGGTGACGTGACGGTGACTAAGTCCACTTCTTATCTGTAGGCTCATTTGAGGGTGATCCTCTGATGATCAGTTGGTCTGGCCAATGTGAGTGTCATCATGTTCCTCTTTGAACCTAATCTCCATTTTCATTGTACAAGTTAAACATCCCTCATGCAGAAATAGTGTACTCTGCTCACTCTGTAAATATACTGTACGATTTTTCACATTAGCGATTTCTGATTCCAGAGTAAATTAATCTTGACTTTTGCTTTTAGGGTTAATTGATCCTTTGCAAGAGGACTTCCTTAAGGGAGCCACCATCCAGAAGACACCATGGCTGACACGGTGAACGCATTGCCATTCTTCTATGGCAACATTACCAGGGAGGAGGCAGAGGAATACCTGCAGCAGGCCAGCATGGGTAACGGCATATACCTGCTAAGACAAAGCCGAAACTATCTTGGAGGCTTTGCACTGTCTGTGTTGTATTCAGGCCGCTGCTACCACTACACCATTGAAAGAGAACCCAATGAAACATATGCTATTGCTGGTGGGAAGAGCCACAAGACCCCCGTGGATGTGATTGACTACCACTCGCAGGAGATGGATGGCCTTGTGTGTCTGCTAAAGAAGCCCCGCAACAGGCCCAAGAACATGCAGCCAAAGATTGGGCCGTTTGAGGACCTAAAGGAAAAACTGATCCGGGAGTATGTAAAGCAGACATGGAATCTGCAGGTTAGTTTCAACTCTATCTTGTAAGGCTGGAAGGTCATTTAGAACAGTGGTTGTCCATCTTTTTCATGTCAAGGACCCCTCAATTGATACACATTAGGTTACAGACCCCCATTTGATAATTACTCGCTTCAGGGACCTCCATCTGAAAATATTTGAAAATAAGACCAGAATACTAGTTGTCAACTACATTACATTACAGTCATTTAGCAGACGCTTTTATCCAAAGCGACTTACAATAAGTGTATTCAACATAATGGAGGTATAATAGTCAACTACTAGTCACCAGAAGTCACAAGTGCATCTCCTTTTTTAAACAAGCATTTAAGAGCATAAACCAGAGCAAAAGTACAGTGCAGAAACAAACTAATACGAATACAATAAGTGCAACAAACTAATATGTGCTCAACTACAGTTGAGGAGATTACCAAGGACACTCTTATGACTCTTACTCACATTGGGCTCACTTCTAAATGAATTAAATAATGAAGATAAACTATTTCCCACATTCCTGGGGACCCCCTGGAACTCTCTCAAGGATGCCTGGGCTCCCCGGACCCCTGGTTTCGAAGCTCTGATTTAGAATATGTACAACAATTTGGGCAAGGCAAGGCAAGTTTATTTGTATAGCACATTTTAACAAGGCAATTCAAAGTGCTTCACATAAAACCATTAAAAACATCAAAACATAAGGCAAAATAAAAGGAGATTTAAAAACAATTAAGAACATTGATTGAAACATTAAAAACAGTCATTAAAACACTAAAAAGCAGTGTAAGAAATAAAACACGAATTACTTTGGTGAATACAATGCTAATATCGCGATCGTTGTGATGAAACTTTTCCGTACAAAATTTCACGAAATTCTAAAAAAAAGCTGACCATGAAACAATTTAATTTACAACTTTTGACTTGGTTTGAAATAAAGTTAACCAAGTGGACCTGGTGATACTTTTTTTCCCATCAAACTGCCATTTCCAAGGTTAAAAATGACAAAGGTAACACATCAAGATTTAGATTATCTCTGAAGGCTTGTTTTTTTAACCAACACGTGTTGTCCCTAGGAAGCAGATCAGAGCCGAATCAGCCCTGAATATGTTTACTGACAACTTCAATTTGGTAAACATAAGTAAAGATGAAAACATTTGAAGAGGGTACTATAATAGTACTGTTGAGAACACATCAGAAAAAGCTTGGCCTGCATATTATTTTATTATAAGCGCTTGCTCATAACTCGTGTGTGTGTGCAGGGAGCAGCTCTGGAGCAGGCCATCATCAGCCAGAGGCCTCAGCTGGAGAAGCTCATTTCCACCACTGCACACGAAAAAATGCCCTGGTTCCATGGATCAATAACACGAGAAGACTCTGAGCCCAGGCTTCAAAATGGCTCCCGTACAAATGGAAAATTCCTGTAAGTATTTTTTGTTAAGTGTCTTTGTACAGCTGTATAGGGAGTAACTGAACAGAAACCAGTTTATTATATTGTTCTGAAAGATGTTCATTAACTGCTCCTAGCAACTGTTACCACAACTTCCATGTCGACTGAAAAAGACATCGGCAGGAGGGATATTTCTCCCATTACTAACTGGTCAGGGCCGAATAAAACAAAATACATCCATCTCCCAAACCAACGTGTAGTTAACATTGTGCAGCGGTCATGTCTAACGTTGTATCATGAGTTCAACGTCAAATGACAGTTTGGTTTAAGCAACAAAGCCACTTAGTTGGGGTAAAAAAACATCATGGTTTAGCTTAAAATAAATATGGTTGTAACATAACCCTTAACTACGGACGTAATGTCATGTGACTCAATGGCGTAGGGTCCTGTGACATAACATTGTCAGTTAAACTCAACTTTTGGTTTGTCCCGGGAAATGAACGCTGGTCCCCTGAGTAAATATCCTGTGTTTGTAAAACGCATCCACCAACCCATTGGCAAGAGCCTATCTGCTTAATTCAGTTAAGGATCAGGAATGTATTCATTTTATGGCCCGGCTCTATGGAATCACACAGAGCTTTTCCCCTGCAGGTACTTAACCTGTAGCCTGGGACTTCTCCAAACCTCAGAACCATGTGAGGCTTTGATACAAGCTTCTTTCTGAATTGATACTCTAGGCAATTTTAGTTAGTGCTTGGTAGATAGACAACAATGGAAGACTAGCGCTGATATTGTTGTTATTAATTTCTTTCAAATTGACCTGGTATATGCCTATAAAAAAAGCACAGCGAGAGAACAGTGGAAAGATAGGCAGAACCCACAGCAATAGATACAATTTATGTTATGTTTTGTCACAATAGACCAAGCTTAAATTGTTCCATGTTTTTTTTTACAATACATGTTGTCAAATTTACACTGATGTAGAGTCAGTGACGGTTCCACACAATAGTGAGCCAAACAGCTGCTTTTAGTTTAAAATTAGCTTCTCTTGAATTAATTCTTATTGGTGGATTTTATTGTTTGTCTTGACTGTTTCAGCTCAAGTTCTGATGTTTTTTCACAGAAGCATCTGAGAAATGTGACAAAATGTGTCTATAGGAAACATCTTAAAAAGCACCAAGGAAAAAGTAATTTGTACTGTTTGCTGAGGGCTGCAATATTCTGTCTAGGACAGATCATTATTATCATTATTGCTATAATGATTTACTTTAGTGACTCACTGAAGTCCGATGGAGACACTATAGAGATACAACATTACCAGTGCAGTGTACCAGTGCTGTTATATAGTTCTGCTTTGTAACAGTCTTAGTGTTGAAATGAAAGTAAATGCTGCAAAATCCAACATCTTAAATTAACAACTACAACAATTGCTTAACATTCTATCACATTCAACACAGTAGTGTTAGATGTTCAAAACGTGTCTTTTGCTTTGCTATTTGAACAAAGCAGGTGTAGAGTATCTGGCAGCTGAAACTTCTGTTGAGAGTGGTCTCGACTGAAGAAACACAGAAGATACACACACACACACACACACACACACACACACACTGTGGTTTCCGCTTTGGCAGTTTGCAAAGGACTTCCTGAAGTAGCCAAACAAGAGGAAGAATGACAGTAGGGCGAAATGTGACTGTTCTGTCCCTTTTCTAAGCATAGAAAGAAACGATGTGTTTCCAATGAAACACAGCCTCACATTCTGATTATAGCTTTAAATACATTTGAACGAGAATGATCCAAATACCATACCCACGGTTAGAATATTCTGGAGTTACTTGCAAGGTTTTGGTTCTGGCTTCCAAGAGTAGCCAACAACAGCTAACAAAAGCACCAATATAATTGTACAGCTACATTTCAATTTATTTATAATATTTTTATATTTTCTCTCATTTTAGATTATAATTTAGATTAAAAAAAGAGACAAGCGTAGTTATAAATAATGGCACACAGGCCATCTATTTAAGTTCCTGTTTCGTGTGTGAAACTGTGCTCTTTTTCATTACTTTTCTGTCAGTTCTTCTTCAGATCCTAATGTTTGAACATACTTACACCCATTTATCAACCATCAAGGTGCAGCTGGTGTACTATTTGTTACCAGGTGGGGTTAAATACTATTTAAACATGACCTGGTGGCAAATATCAAAAAGTAAAAAAGAATAATATCATTAACCTTTGTTTCAAAACAAGGTTTCAAGGTGCATTACAGGAGCTAAAACTATATACTGTATATAAACAACAGTAACAAATTGGATAAGAGGGATGCATTAGTAAAACAAACGAGGCAAAAATTGAACTTGGTAATTGAAAAGTACAGTGAATATAAAATAACAAAACACAAAGATGTAGCTGTTAAATTAAAGCTGTTACAAGCTTGAAATGGTTGTTTAGAAACATCTTTAATCCTCCAGTGATGACCCAAAACTAACAACAAAAATGAATAAATACAAAAACAAGTTAAAGGAGAGTTTTCTAGCTTTTAATATGAATCCCATTTCTTCTGTAAAGTCATGCCTACTTAATAATTTCCGTCTTGGTAAAGCTGTTGAAAATTTGCATTTTGCACATTTAGAAATGGTTGATGTCAAACAATTAGCAATATATGCAAAAATAGAGATAGATAATACATGAGAAAATACTAGTTTTACAAGTTTACAAGTTTTTTTTCATTGTGTGACATAGAAATAAATAGGAGTTTTTTTCAGCTTGGTGTTAAGATACATATATTTTATTTTAAGTTTACCAACTGCTCTTGCAGCAGGTTGTGGCCAAACATGTCAACATGCTATGAGCAAATGAGAGTAATTCATAACAATATGAGAATTATTGAAAGCTGTCATTCAAAGGTTAACATTTGGATGCATCCATCACAAAAAGGCTCAAGCCATGAACATTGATAAGCAGTACAGAGGTAGTAAAGTCACAAAAAAGAGGAGATATAAATAGTCTTGTCATTTCTCCCTGACAGACTCCGCATGTCAAGCTTTTTTTGTAACCTCAATGCATTTCCTGTACGGTTTATTCTTCATCTTTGTACTGATGGAATTGTTGTGAAGAATGAGTTTTGTCCTTTTATAATACATTTTCACTGTATATTACTGAGGCATTTTTTTGCCAGGGACAGTTTAAACAGGGGTTTCAGTTTATATAATAATACATTTAATAATATATAAAAACATTTTAAAAAGACAAATTTTTGTTGGATTTTGTTATGCAAAATGTCTTCAAAGTAATGAAATATACAATCCCTTTAGTGAAAATGTAATTTTTGATAACAGCAGACTAATGGCACATGACTCCAACGATATATATATATTCTCATATATTCTGTTCATACCTATGACAAAATTCAAAATATGAGAAATGTGGTGTATGCGGCAAGTACTCCTAAATCAAGCATATAAGCCACTGAAGAACACATCTGCTACAAGTGGTTCTTGCATGAGGCCCAATGTGCTTGTGGTTTAGCATATCTGATCAGTAGAAATGCTACATGAGTTAGTGCTTTCATTTATTGTGCCACAAGTGAGTTTTTGTGTCATGGCAAAACCACCATTTAACGCTCAGTGGATGGCGTAAGAGTGTTGAAACCTGAATCTGTTGCAATGGTTCATTGGAACTTGTGTGTTGGTGTTGAGCATCCCTCTTGACAGGGATCTTTAAAAACCTTGCACTCATGGTGATGTGTGTATAATTCGTAGATGTATAAAGAGAACTGGATACGCGCCCCTGTTCATTCCTTTAAATTTGCTCAGAGGCGCATGAAGCGAAAAAAGTTTGACTTTCGAGTGAAAAATTCTGATGAAATGACTCTGATCTTGCGTCACTCTTCCACATCCATGGGCCCATAGAGCAAGCATGCTAGCGCTTTCTTTAACCCGTCTTCCTTCCCTCAGTCCAGCCTCGGTATCGGGCTCATTCACATGAACGGAGGAAGGCAAATAACTGTGGATTCGGCTATTAGTGCATTTTACTACTTTTAGGACCTACTGATTTGAAAAAGGGCTTTTAAAGTAGGCCTATTGCTACTGGGAAACCACTGATACAGATGTCTCTTTCCCAATGGAAGGCTGTGGGAAAAAGCCTTTTTGGGCCCAATGATGGTCCTGAAAACTGTAATTCCTCTATTTGGCCACTATGTAAAGTTTGCTTCAAAGCCCGGTGCTCTTCCTGGGCGCTTGGTATAACTGTACTGGATTACAACCCAGAGTCTCTGTGTACTAATGACACAACATACTGTGTTATGGGTTGTATTATATAGAGTTTATGGAAGGACTCCAGGTTGGATTAAATATACTGTTCAGAAGAAACGCAGATCTCTCACTCATTGTTTGCATTTCTGAGTATGGTCATGTGAACTGGACTTGCACACACAAATGGCACCTTTGGCACCTCACAAAACATCATTCACATCTATGAAGGAAATGATACTTGTACTATGTTCCCTCCAGAGAAGGACCTTCACACCTACTAATTGATTTTCTTCTTCTTGTGAGTGCAGGATCCGACAGAGAGATTCGAATGGATCCTATGCCCTGTGTTTGCTCCATGAACGACAAGTCATGCATTATCGCATTGACAGGGACAGGACTGGCAAGCTCTCAATCCCAGATGGCAAGAAGTTTGACACCCTGTGGCAGGTAAACAAATGTTTTTTATATTTCTGGTCATATTCATGTGGGTATTTAACAATGACTCTCAGGTTTAGGGTTTCCCAGCAGCTGTCTGAAGTGTTGCTCAGTGTTCTTTCAGAAATAAAATGATGTATTTCATGGTTGTTACAGTTTTGTTATAGTTCATGCTTTCTCCACATTGCATGGAATATGCAGTATATCTGGTAGAGAAATACCAACTCCATTATTTCATTTCATTATCTTCAACTTTGAAAAACACTACATGAAAGTTGTGTGTAATTGTAGAATGGAAACCCCTCCTTAAAAGAACAGTTCCTCATTTCTTGACAAACAACAGTGTATCTATCCATCTAGCACTTCTGTGCAGCATCTATAGCAACCATAGGACAGGTTGTTAGTTACGTGTTGGTCTCTGTACAGGAATGGTTCCAAACCTGGTTACCTCACAGTGATGACAAGGCCTCAGGGAGCTGCACATAGTCACTGCACCCTGTTTTTGTCTAGAGCTAGTTTCAGCATGCTAGACTCCCCCCTAAAACCATAAATTATAATTTTTCAACAAAAAAAGTTTTGGAGGTGTTAGCAGGTGTATTTGAACTTTGGACAGAGCTAAGCACGCTGTTTCCCCCTACATTCTTCATGCTAAGCTAGGCTGACTATGTCCTGACACCAGATCTGTTCTTAAAGGTTCAGTGTGTAGGATTTAGTGGCATCTAGCGGTGAGGTTGAGATTGTGTATTGTGACGAGTGTCTGATACATAAACGTCTCTCTCTTTGCCACAGCTGGTGGAGCACTACTCATACAAACCAGACGGTCTGCTGCGAGTGCTAACAGAGCCCTGTCCAAGACCCGACGGAGAAATTGGTAAAAACTCTCTAACACTAATTAAACGTATCTACAGTAAGACTGTCATACAAACAGAATGGTGCTGCATATGAATTAATATCTGACAACTCAAAGTGTAGGAATATATTCAATTCACATTTGAGACGTGCTGTGTTCCTAGGGATGATAGGACGGCCACTACTCCCACGGGACCATCCTGGATTAACGTCTGCCATTGTAAGTTGTGTGTGTGATGTCAGTAAAGCATTTGCATATTCTCATGGTTCCGTGTCTACAGTATGTCTAAAAAACAGGAAGTGAGGTTATCCACTCCTTTATGTGTCTCACCTAAGGGACATTGACATAAATATAGATAATGAATAATGAATAAGAATTTCATAGTTTGATTGAAACATGTCTGTTCACACTCTTTGTATGTGGACGGCTAATATTTAAAGAGTCGGTTCACCAAATCACAAAAATAACTTTCTCACTTCCCTCTGGTGGTATTTGTTCCTGCAGATAGTTTTGGTTTTGTTTGTAGGCTACATGTTTTCAGAGATCACTACTTTAACCCAAACATCACATACTAATATGTGAGCACAAATTCACAAGTGGTACACACAGAGGACTCTTTTGAGGACTTAATTTGACCTTTTTAAAATACTCATAGGCTACTTTTGATTTAATCATTTGTGTACATTAAATAACAGGACATAATGTTTAAAAATAGTTGACATTTTAACACACGTTTAAGATCACACTACGTTGTTCAAAAGCGAAACAGGCTAAAGCTGGAGAAGGGAGTTATTTAAGTTACTGGGAGGAACTTTTAACTGGTTATAAAACAGTCTCAAATTAATAATCAAAAAATATTGATGCCTCTATTTGACCTTCATGAGTAAACAAGACCATCAGCGAGAATACTGTCTATTTCTATATAGGTATTCTTAATGCTTGTCATCGATGCCACCTGCTGCGGTAAAATGAGAGTTTGTCTAAAGGGAGTCTGATGCTTAAAAACACTACAACTTTCTTCCACAGGGATCACCAAAATCAACACAAAATGAACGTTCCTTGAAAAAATTTTTATTAAATCTATTGATTTGTGTACATGGTCACGAATTTTCAAAACAAGCTCTATTTTGATGCTTTTTATGCACTCTGGCACCTTATTGACATGCAAAGTAGCCTACATCTCTTAAATATTGAAACATTTTCATAAACTTTCCAGATTATTCATGAATTCTGATTTTAAAAATATGTTCGCTGTGCCACTGTAACTTGTGTCACTCAGGGCTGACCACGAGACCCCCCTGAGCTGGCGACAGCGGCCTAAGAGCGTGTGCCATAGACAGCTCCGGCCCAGTTTAACACAGTGATGATCATCAATAACTAACTAAACTTAACGAACTAAAGTTCGGATAATTTGGTGTTTTAATTTGGTCTAATTTTAGCAATTATGGGCTACTCGTATTTAGGCTACAGTGTAAAAGCATCAAGATTCATGATGTTTATTGTCACTCTGGTTATACAAGTATATCGTGTGAAAAGCTTTTGCGGGGAGGGTTCATAAAAGAAAGAAAATAAATTGTTGTGCTCCGACTCAATGTCGACTCTGTGTCTTGTATTGGGCTTTGCAGTCAGCTAAACTCTTCGTCATACTTTTCCTCCAAGGAACAGACCAGCGTGTTGTATATGGACAGGTTTTAATATGAAGAAGTGTTTAGCTGACTGCAAAGCCCAATACAAGACACAGAGTCGACATTGAGTCGGAGCAGAAAAGTGAAATGGCATTGCCACTCAGAGGGCCAGAAAATGCAGGATGGATAAAGATTCTATTGCACAATCACTCCAGTACAACAGAGCCATGTTGTGACAAAACCAGGAAAAGGAATACGTTACTTCCTGTCACATGTGCCACACATATAGTACACTGGCGAATAACCATAACACTTTACGTTAACAAGAGGTGGCAGTAATTCCCACAAATAAAATACAAGTCATTACATAAATAGTGAATATAAAAAGATATAAAAAAAGAATACAATAAATATAATAACAAAATATAAAAAGCAATAAAGAGGTTGCATATTGCACAGGGGTTGGATACACTATTTGAGGAAAGAGATGCTGCTGTTGAATTCATCACCCATTCACCTCTACTTAATCTCAAAGAAAGACACTTCTCAAACCTGAACCAAACCTGTCTACATGGATAGACACCACTAGAAGGGTAGTTTTTCAAAATTTGGGTGAACCAACTCTTTTATTTTTGTCTTCCCCCTCACATGAACACCGTAGAGTAAAATGAATGTGGGAATGTTGCATATACTGTATGACCAGTGTCTCTCTACTTCTTGTAGTTTGCAATTGAATGAGTCAGTAAGCAGAGACATAGCGTTGACACATCCGTGTTTGGAGCTAACCTTTCTCCTGAATCTGTTTCTACTGTAATGATCACATGCATGACCACAACATTACCAGGTCGCCCTCTGATAACCTTCTGACATTTTGTTTTTTAGCAAAGTGCGGCAGGTGGAATTCTCTCCAAACTCATACCTGGCATAAAAAAGGTGCACTAATACTCCTCATAAACCTATTGGTCACAGCAACCCCCTTAACCCTTCCCCGTGTGTGATTTTGCTTCAGTGTGGGTTGCTACTTGCTAACTTACACATCACATTGTCCTTGCGCTCCTTGGGCTTTTCTTTATTGCGTCCCCTCTCCATCCCTCTGACAGATCAGAGCAGATAGTTTTAAAACTTGAGCTGGAGTTCGTTTGCTCTCCAAATAGTTGGCCTACTTATGATTACAATCTAACACCATCCAGAGGTCATTCACTGAATTACAATCTGAACCACAGTCAGCCTTGTGTTGTTTCCTACTTAACAGTCCCTCCTTCAATATGAGCACGTCAAGACCAGACATGGCATAATGGGTCCACATGTCTGTTTTATTCCAAAGGCTCCTCCACACGTTCTTTTGACCAAATTTAGGAGACACAGCGGCTGCATCCTTTTAAGAATCCTTGACCCCAATATCCACTGTTCACAAGCTTTAGTTTAGTTTGTTGGGAAAATCTTTATTTTATGGATCTTGAACAGCCTTGTCAGCCTTTTATGATCTATTGGGTTCTTGAAATGTGGAATTGAAAGGAGGGGCCCCTGACATAAATTCTGTTTGACACTTTTGATGCCTTGCTTTGTTTTTTGAGTTTAGGATTTCTAACTTTTATAAATACAATTGTAGAACAATAGATTCATCTTTTAATATTGTTTACAACCTAGTCACTGATGCTAGATATTCAAAAGATACCAAAGCATGTTGACATCCAACAAAGAATTTTTGTATGTTCACATATTTGTTAAAGCAGGGGTGTGGGACCTACTGTATGTTTCAATGTGAACAGATCATTGACATCAAGCTGTATAATGTGGTCCCAGGGAACATTTGGACAGTAAATCTGTTACTTAACATCCACACCCCTTCTTTGAATGCATATGAATGCAGGTGTTAATCCCATGCATTTGTTCTCTTCCATAAACCCTTTTGTATGGACAATCATACAATGCCCCATTTTATAAACACAATGCATTACAGTGATACTGACTGGTGACAGACTGCTGATGAATGAAAACATATTCAATGTGTAGACTTTTTACACATACTTTGATTCAGAAAGAAACTTTTTCTCCACTTTAGTCATGAATGAATGGATTCTGAATTTAACATCAAATTCTAATGTTTTTAAGAATCCCTCTTTATTGAACCTAAACTTTCAATATCACTTTAATACAAATTCCATATAAAGTGTGGCACCCTGCTTAATTCACTCGTTGCACATTACATTTCAGCAGTGCACCATGTATATATATGCTTTATGTGTTTTCACTATGTGTGTTCTCTCAAACATTGTCTCTCCTGATAAACTGATAACAGAACCGGGGATCTCGATCCAACATCTCAGATAATCTCAACCCTTATGAAACCAGCGTGCCCAATAATCAAGCAGGCAGCAAAGGTAAAGTATACACTTAAAGCACACCTTGTATTCATCAGAAAGTTATATGCTGTCGTTCAGTTGCAATTGCTAACTTGCTAATACAGTATATATTAGTACTAGCTTCCCTGCACACTCTTTTGAGTGTCTGCCTGCTGTTACTTGGATTTTTGTAGAAATGTACAGATACAATCAGGCAACTCTTAATCTGCCGTCCAGCATATTTAACACTCAATACATTAGGGAAGACTCGGATACATCCTGCAGATAGAAATGGATGAAAAGTCACGAAAAAGTCCAGGATGCCTCTGCGCAGATGTTTACCACTGTCATTCCTCTGAGGAGGCCATGGATTAGAATGAAGCTCTTGTGGACACTCTCTCCACACACCAGCGCTGAAAAGCCGACTATCTACCCATTTAACACACTGTGGTAGAAGGAGCTTCTTCACCCTGGATTGTATGCACCACTGCAGTGGGCAGCCCTAACCTTTCCAAGCACTCCCATTCAGCGTCCAAGCCCACAGCTGTTGGCCTATCTCCGGGAAGTGGAGGATCGCCCCTTCTAGCCGAGACAGTGCATCTCTGCGCCATGCATAGTCGGGAACCATGACACCACAATGATCATTAGATTCTCTTCCTGAATGCTCGTTAAAAGGCGGAAATCAGTGGAACTGGGGAAACATGTTTTGGGCCATGGTTGGTGAGAGAATACATCCACTCCTAGAGTATGTTCTTGAGTGCATTTTTGAGTGCCGCCAGCTTGTAGCCTTCTCCGCTGCTGTGTGAAACGAGTGGTCGTTCCCTACAGCACATGGGAAGGCTGCCTTGGAAAGTGTGGTGCTGACCTTCGTGCTGAAAACGCCTGACAGCTTCAGCTTTCAACTCTGTGTGTCTGAAACCTGAGTCTGACACAGGTGATGCTGGGATATCACCACTAACTCGCCCTGATGGGTGAGAGGTGGTGATAATCCTTTACAGTCAGTAACACACATCTTAAAAGAGGATTTGTTACTTGTGAACAAGTGAACTGCTTCGTGCAGATGAGCTGTGGCGCTCTGGGGAAGTGGTCCAAACAGGCCATTGGCCTGCAAAGGTAAAGCATGAGACCATCCATCAACTCCCGTCTGATCTGGGGGGAAGCTGCAACATGTGGAGCCAGATGTTCTTTACTTCTTCATTTGTTGACTGCTTGAAGCTGGAAAAAAATGGTAGCAGAACAATGGTTGCACGGCTGTTATATGTCGCAAGTTAAAACAAATATTGGCTGATATCTATGTCTCAATTTCACTTCACATATGAGTGTGCATACTGTACAAGACTAATGTGTCAATCACTCCATCACTATTCCTCTAATGGGACACGGCCATTTCTCCATCAGAGGCGATGCCAATGGACACAGAGGTATATGAGAGTCCATACGCAGACCCAGATGAACTGAGGAGTTCTACAGTGAATCGCAACCAGCTCTTCTTGGAGGACGGAGAACTGGGCTCTGGGAACTTTGGTACAGTCATGAGGGGCATCTACAAGATGAAAAAGTATGCTAAATCACATAAAATCAAATTACATCTATACAAACAATCCAACATCTCCAATTTAATCGCCCCATGTGTCGTGATACCATGATTATGGAATGCCAGACTTGTGCAGATTTTACTACCCCAACCCATTTCCCAAGATCCTAAAATAAATCCCAGTTCCAGCTATCCAAAGACACCTTACAATTTCAAAATGCCATGTATCATAGCTTCATTAGACAGATCCAAAGGCCTTTTATCTTTGCTGGGATTTAAACAAGAATCTGAACTAGGATGTCCATTATCACCCTTTTTATTGACTCTATAAAAAGCTTCAATTGAACCAGCTTCAATCCGATAAAAACCCAACTGGTTCTAATATTACAACACAATTATACTATCACAAAATGCAGATGATATTCTACTGTACATAACCAAACCATCAATCTCACAGATATTTGACCAGTTAATGAAGTATTCAGGCTACACCACCAAGTGAAAAGTTTAACAACAATGAATTGGGGAGCTGAGGTTGTGAGTTTACCCCTCGAGAAAGCTAAATATTATAATTTATAGGTTCATAATACTCAAATGTACATCAAAACTGTTTTGCTTCTTGTATTCTTTAATACTGGCCTTTAACAGATGCCTATCTAACATGCTTTCAGTGTAAAGGATGGGTGTATAAATCTACAGTCTTCATATATCTAATTTATTAAGAGAACATTTGAATAAAAGATAATCCAAACAACAACTATGCCAGACAGACTCGAAATATACTGTACTGTCACAAACTGGCTCAGTGAATGTGACTCAAAGGTTGTCCACCCAAGGTTATACTTACAAACAAAATGTATTAAACTAAGGTCAACTCAATTTCAGCAAATCAAAGCAATGCATGGCATATGTGCTGTGGAGGTGCTAAAGGTGCAAAATGAGTTAACACATGGGGCAGTTGAGCTTAATCAAGTTGACGATCCCCCTTTGTCAGCCTACTGAGGTTTGGCAGGACAGCTTCCAAGACAGTGGGAGAGGCGTCTCAAGTTATCTTGAGAGCTGATTCCTCTCTCTGTTGCATCTATCGTACCTCTCACTTCTCACTCTTGAATCCTCCTCAATGCAAAGGATCATGTAATAGACTTCAAAATATCAATCTGCCCAACCTTTTTGATTAATAGACTCAGTTTGTGTACTTGTCTTATTGTATTCTAAACCACACGTTGTGTTCTAGATCATATGTTAATGGTCATTTTTTATTTTGGGTAAAAAATGAGGCTTACTTACTTACATATCCTAACCCTACCCCTAACCCTCCCTATGTATTAGGACTGAGAAGCCAGTTGCAGTCAAAATCCTGAAGAACGATGATAACAACCAATCAGTACATGAGGAAATGCTGCGAGAAGCCAATGTTATGCAGCAGCTGGACAATCCTTATATCGTCCGGATGATTGGTATCTGTGAGGCAGAGAACCTCATGCTGGTCATGGAGCTGGCTGAACTGGGACCACTCAACAAGTTCCTGCAGAAAAACAAGTATGAACTCCAACCGGATCTCGATCATTCTCTGTAACGAGATATTTAACTGACCTTGCTTATAGCAAGGTCAGTTAAGTGGTTGAGTAAGCTAGAAAGTGAATGAAGAGAAGGCTATTAGTTTCTGATTGTTTCACGCCGGTTACAGTCTAAAGCACAAATAAACACACCTCACAAACCCAGGACCTCGGAAAGCAGGTTTAGTAAACTCTGAGCCTAACCCTGAACTCTGAGTTGACTAATCCCGAGATGGAGAACTGTGAGTTCTTGGTTTCAGAACAACCGATCACAGTTTGTTCAATCAACTCTGAGTTTGTTCACTCTGAGACGAGCTTGTGTGTGGTTTAATGAAAATAAAGCTCTGATACCACAATTCACCATGGCAACAGGTACATAAAAGCCAGAGCCTCCATTTTAATCCACTGAACAAAGAGATATTAATGCATGTAGGCTACATGTGAACTGTGCACAGTTATCTTTAAAAAAGAGCCTGAGTAGGGGAAGATGTCAAAAAGAACACAATTAAGTTTAATTCAGTTCCTTAATGGATGATGAAGTTTTATTAGTAAATTAGGCTGTAGCCTATATTACCTTTTAAATATATTTGTTCAGCTTTAATCTGACCAACTGAAGATAAAACCTATAGTTTAATATTTAAAAAATATATAGAGATCAATAGACATAAGAGACTTGACTGTAAGCTCACTATCTGATCCACGGGTTTGGTGATTTAAAGGTTAAAATACAGTGGATGTTAAATGTTAGACATCTATTTAGATCTTGGCTTATCATCATTTATTTCAGCAAACGTCAACAAATGTAGTCAGTTTAAACACAAGTAATAAAAACACATTCAGACTATACGCAGCCTATTAAAAAAAACTCACTTTGAAACTATATTCTGTAGATTCACCAAAATACATCTCACTCAGAAATATTAACATATCATTTCCAATATAATATATATTTCCATCAGTCACAGCTGACATTAACTGTGTACACAGAGTCACAGGTTTCATATTCATATCAAAAAAAGAACTTCCATGCGTAAAAATAAGTGGAATTATCTGAGCTGAGGGCGATGATGCTGATGCTGAGGAACACCCAGCATCAGCTGATGCTGAGGAACACCCTGCCTGTACAGTAGTACAGGCAGGGGCCGGGGTCTCTGCAGATACAGGCAGCACCACACACTTAGTAGGTCATAAGTGATGATCATTCCATTCATTGTTTTTTATGAAATTGTTGCTTGTTACAGCTTTAACAATGCAACGATTTACATAGCATTTCCATTTTCTTTGTTCATTCTTCCATTATTATGAAAAGCTATAGAAATCACCTTCATTTTTTCTTTGTGTCCTCAAAAAACTGTTCCACTCATAATTATATAATATTGCTTAGGATGAGCCTTGGGCTCATTTTAAGATGGCAGTGAAGCAAACATTTAAATTATAATTAAATTACACAAGCCTCTCAACGGCTCTCAACATGGCGACGGCTGAGCTGGCGAGTCACAGCTAATGGTGCTAACAGTGCAAACTACAGCAACAAGTGCTGACAGAGTTAGCAGTGTTTACTGGGGGCGTCATGAGCTAGGAGCACGCTAACATGCACATGCCCGGCTACGTAAGCAAAGCAATAATTAGAATAACAGTTCCTTTGATTGATCATCTACAGGCAAACAACCATAAAGAACCTCACTGAGCTGGTCCACCAGGTGTCCATGGGGATGAAGTACCTGGAAGAGCATAACTTCGTCCACAGGGACCTTGCTGCCAGGAACGTGCTGCTGGTCACGCAGCACTATGCCAAGATCAGCGACTTTGGTCTCTCCAAAGCTATCGCTGAGGAGCAAAACTACTACAAGGTAACAGCACACAGTGATGGAAACAGCTTCTTTGTTGTTGGTCAAGCATGAAGCCCACCCAGGGCATTTCCATGGCTTATTATTCAGTGTGTCTGTTTTTTTTACAGCGAAATTGTAGAGTAGGGCAATATGGCTAAAACTATAGCCTAGATGAAATGATTTCTTTTTTTCTATTTAATTAATGTGAACCAGCTTTTAGTGTTTTAGAGTTGCTAAGACCAGTATAAACATTTTTTTCATTCAACATTATATAGCTGTTCTGATAATGTTTTGAGAATGTCTGTGTAGCACTGCAACTTGCTGCTCTTAGTGAACAACACTGAAATCCTCCAAGCAAATTGCTGCAAAATGACCAATAACATGAATTCATAGCCACTGATGTTGTGTGTATGTGTCTCCTCCTCCAGGCCAAAGGTCACGGGAAGTGGCCTGTGAAGTGGTACGCTCCTGAGTGTATAAACTACTTCAAGTTTTCATCCAAAAGCGATGTGTGGAGCTTTGGGGTGCTCATGTGGGAAGCCTACTCGTATGGACAGAAACCATACAAGGTAGAAACGCCTCAGCCATGACAACACTTATTTCACATCCAGTCACTCACTCACTTATTTATTTGGGGTAACAGCAGCAGGCGTTCAAACTTGCAGAAGTAGAAGCAGATTTTTTAAAATATTTTTATTACAGCTGTTGTTTTCTCAAAGGCATCATTTAGAACAAAACACTTCAAGACAATAACGTTTAAGTTTGTGGCTCACTTATGGTGATGTTAAATGAAGTTTTGTGTAAAATGTTCCTCTGCTTCCGGCTAATGTTATTAACCTATTGTGTCGCAATCCTGTAACTTTAAGGTAATATAATGAGCACTATAATAACTAGTTTTCTCAAGGAGGAATGCAAATAAATAATAAAATCCACTGATACTTTTTACAACCAACTCAACCATTTTGCATCATTCCTTTCAGAGGTACTGAGCAATGTCATCAGGCGTCCCCTTCTAATCTGATGTTTGACTGTACACAGGGATTGAAAGGAAATGATGTCATGCAGATGATTGAAGGTGGGAGACGTATGGATGCCCCAGTGAACTGTCCACCAGAGATGTTTGACCTCATGAGGACGTGCTGGACATACAAGTAAGGCGTCGCACCGTGATGGCTGGACCAACAACACACTCCTACACCAGATAGTGGTCATGGTTTGATAACTACTTGCTGTTTTCCTGTGTTGCAGGGTGGATGAAAGGCCTGGATTTAAAGTTGTTGAGCCGAGACTACGAGAGTATTATTATGACATTGCACAGTGATTCTTCCCATGACTGTTATGAAGTTATGCACAACCATCTGTTGATGAGAAAAACTGTATTAACTTATGTATGAATGACTGGAGATGATTATGAATTACACATGCTGTTGTAAAATATTGACTTCAACTGGAGGATTACCTTCAAACTTTTAAACATCGACATATATTATGCAAATTACATTTATTTTATTACTTTTGACTTTTCTTGTTCCTTCCTGAATGTAAACAACATGGAAGTTGTAATAAACATACACGTCTCGCTTATTGTAGGAACAAACAGTCATGTTACAGCTAACAAACTCCACAGCTGATTCATTCGGTAGATAGTGAATATCTGCACCATTGCAATGCCATTACAGTTCAACCTACACTCCTGGAATCTCTGAATGATGGTCTGATTGTTTCAGTGTAATGGAGAGATAAGACTAGAGGGTGTTTCTGTACTCGTGTATGAATAAATTCCATCACTGTGACTGATCATTAATGCTAACCTGCCAGCATATTTGACAACATATGGACAAAGGTGCTGTCCAGGAAACCCATTGATATTCAAAACATATAGAGTTACTCCAAAAAAAGGACAGCGGCATTGTTACACTTTCAAGTTTTTGGTTTTACTTCAAAAACCTCATCAGTAACAGGCAGAGGTGTCAGGAAACATCAGCTAATAAAATGGATTGATTGATTGATAAAATTGTGTTCAGAACAACAAGATGGATCTTTGTCCTAAAATACGGAACCGGAAAAACTGCCCAACAAAACCCTCAAAAGATCTCGACAAAAAATGTATTTTTCAAAAGTGACCTTCAAAAATATTTGAAAAGTATTTAAAACAATTCTGTCACTATTACTTTATCACTTCATGGTGGGCTTTAAGGACCAAACACATACAAACCCCTTTCCAAAATACAATTGTAAAACACATACAGAGGTGAAAACCCAAACATTTCTAGAAGAAATAATGTATTTCTATAATTTAGTTTGACATCAAACTAGTAGAGAACCCTAACAGCCATTTATTTACCAAACGCTAAACCCCCACTAGAGGGCTGCAGCAGGATATAAACATGTTTGTTTTTTTAAACTTCTAAATCTAAAGAGCATTGGAATAGTTGAGATGCTTCTTGGCTCTTAAAACAAATGTTGCTAATAAAACTGAATTAGTTGGCTCAGTAAACCAGAACTGCAATTTTTAAACTATTTTGTATTTGAGACCTAGCGTAATGTGAATAATTCCACTATGACAAAAAAAACGAGATTAAGAATGAGTCCAGATGTGTATGGGGAGGTCATTCGGATACAATCCAATTGATGTATTTTGAGCAGTCAGAAGTTTTTGATGAGTTGTGGAAAACTGCAGGTGGCAGCAGAGTCCAGGTGATGTTAAACTGAAGCCCCAGAAAGAATGTTGTACTAACAGAGGGGCTGCCTAGGCCAAAGGGTTAGTCTGTTCATCATTGTTTTTTCTGAGTGCTTTGAGTGCCACTGGCTCAATTCCAGATATTTTCTCAAATTGATGAAATATACCCCAAAAATTATATTTCCCAAAATGAAGGGAAAGCAAAAGTTAACTAACATATATTACATTTAGGTTTAATCGTCCACTTTTAAAAAAGATCACACTAGCAGGCAGTTATATTGTATGATATGATGAAAATAATAATGTCCCAAGTTGTGCATTTAGGACTACTAAATGTTCCATTAACATCCATCTTTTTATCCACTATAGCCAATGGCTATAGCAAAACGCCAAGATGAGTGTTTTTAGAGATCCAACATGACAAAGCCACAGAGCTTTTCTGCATCAACCTTCTTCCTGATGTGCTCAGTTAGATACCTAAAGCAGGTTCCGGTGTAGAGGGAACTTCTAACCTAACTGTTACGGCTTCATATGTACGCTTCAGTCTGCTCAGGAATCTTTCCATGACCTTGGACATTACGCATCAAAGTGAATCTTGCTTTTTATCTCTTTTGTCCAATGTGTTGCCTTTTTTAATAGAGGAATAATTAGATAATTGGAATATTGTCTTAAAAGTAAAGAAGCCATTTGAATCCCATTGGCAATACTAACTCTGCACCGGACTTTCATTCTGAAAGCAGACATTACGAGGAGGTTGTTTAACCACATTACTGCCAACTGTGACAAAGTAAATGTACTGGATGTAAATCCTAGAAGGATCTTTCTTTAACTTGAATCGTACTGCAGTACTCATGTTGAATGAGTATTTTGTATATCTCAAAGTACCCCCAGGTAACCACTGTTAGACTGTTTGCACTGTTAGACACCAGCTCACCTTCGCCATGTTGAGAGCCATCAAGAGGCAATCGAAACGCTACCAATCTTGTATCATCCACCTTTAAAAACTGAAAAGAGGGAGCTGCAACAAAGATAGCCACACATTATGTGACTGGCAGCCTACATTTTTAAAGGTATTCTGAATATGACAATAATGTTCACAAGATGACTTCCCAACAACATTCTACCTTCAATCTACGAGCGATAACAGTGATTTGCTTTTGAATGTCCTTGTTATTATAGATGTGCAGACTGCGATTATGTTTATATACTAAGGTTTATGAAGAAGCCCACTTTGGAATCTTAACTCAATGCCCACATGCTGGAACTTTCAGCTGTATCTTACTGTCTTCCTCAGTGGATAGAGTTCACTCAGCTTATAACTGTCTACCTTTTATTTTGTCACATCAAGAGACTTTTCAAGAATATTCAAGGCTCATTTATTGTCATTATGCAAGGACAAGGATGCACAATGAAATTCAGTTGTAGCCCATTTATAACACAACAAACACATGACAAAGAAAACAAAACCAGTAGTACATTCCTGTCGTTTATTTTTTTTAATTTTTCATCTAAGGAACGTAAACAGCATCAACAAAAACAATCCTCTGGTCAGGCAATATGGCCGACATCTTCACATTAAAAACTCAACATGTGGAAAACATTGTCCATCAACTCTGACTGTTTGAGCACCAAGCATGAAGATGTAGACACAGAGTCCTCCTCCTCTGGTTCACCAGAGTCCTGATGTCCGCCCGTCAAGTGCAGCTTGATTCTGGCCCACGATGGATCCAGGTCTCTGTGAAGATGTGGGCTCCACAGTCACCGACCTCCCGCTGCTTTCACCCATCTTACTTTCCTGCTAGCGGGCATCAGACAGCCAGGAGCATGCTGGGTAGTGGAGTAGCCTCAGGTCCTGGGTTAGCCTGGCTTCCATCTTGGCTCTCCTCCCTCTCCTCTCTGGGGCAGTTTGGTGGCGTCAGATGGACTTTATGGAGGACTGATAAGTTGATAAAGCCACAGCGTCGTACGTGCCACTCAGAGCACAGTGCTGTTCACTGTGTTTACCTTCATTGACTGAAAATGATACAGTATAACCATCCCAGTGGTGGGCCGTGCATTTTATACCTGGGCCTTCACTGCTGTCCTGCAGCTGAAACACAGCTACAGTTATTATTTGTTTTGTGTAAAAATGAAGCCAACACCTATAAATACACTAACTGCAGAGAATACGCCGAGAGTGTGTCTCCTCTCTGCTCTGACTGCAGCTGGGACTGCTGCGTGAGGCTGCTGTGAGAGTTACCGCCTATGTGTACTTTGGGGCGGCTCACGGCAGCACCCGCTGCTCGTTCACGACAGTAACTGTAGAACGGTACGTGCTTTCACGTCAGAGTCAAAACACCAGAAAAGTCTCCAACAACACCAGAAAAAGTCACTAGATTTGTCGCTAGTAGCTTTTGACAAATAAATTCGCCAAGAGGGTTTGGAAAGTCGGCAGATTTAGCGAGAAAGTTGCCAAGTTGGCAACACTGGCACCGACTAAATATGTCCCCAGAGCAACATTGGAGGTAACAATGGTTCCCATCACATATAAAACCAAACAAAAATCCATCTTCATAAAAACAAGTTGTACAAATAATAATATATAAACAAGCATATTAAAGCTACTGCAGATGTAAAAACAAAAGCAGTTCACTTACTACCAGAGCTGCTGTTCACTATTTAAAGACAAAGTCCTCCTTTCTTTGTTAATAAAGAGTTTAATCTCACGGTTGTTCAGTACATCCGTGCATTTTAGTTCCAGTAAGAAGTCCTTCTCCATTCATGGACGCCAGTGAAGACAGTCGAGCCTTCCCAGTTGTATTTCTTGAATACGTTTTAATGCGTTTAAGGGCTAAAAATGTCCGCTCGGCACAGGCAGCAGATATTGGGATTGTCACCGCCCAACATGTCAGGCTAGCCCACTGACCAATCACGTACTTGTAGGCCAGCTAGCAGGCCCTGGCACGTCAAAGAATACGCCCAACATATCAAACTAAAGATATGATTGGTTGAACACTAGCAATCAACAATATCGTCCCCATTCACTTAAACTGCAAAGGGATGCACTTGTGAGTCTGCAGGTCTCGGGCCTCTCTTCTTACCTAGAGACACAGAGGTGAAATCTGATTGGATAAAAGCTCTACTTAAAACAAGCTGCACTGGAAGCAGAGCAACAGAGGAAGACAGTAGCTGTGCAATGAGAAAATAAGCTCATGGGAAATAAAATTACAATACATGTAGTGTATTTATGAAAAATGATTAAATTATAAAATAGCTATAACTTTGTGATAGCTGATAACTTTGTGATAGCTTCTCTGCTGGCTTCTTTAGGCCAGCAGAGAAGGCCTTGCTGGCCCTGACGGCCCACCACTGAACCATCCAGACCTTTACACATCAGAGTGTTCAGATATAACTTTTTAAATTGCTGAAAAAAAGTGTCAGTCAGGGATATGCCCCGGTCCGCCTGAGCCGGTGACCTTTTCCCACCGGCTGGCTGCTCCGTATCCTTGTGGAAAGCTACATGATTACGCCTGTGCATGTTGGGAGATAGCTTTCGATAAAAACATAAAGACAGTGTTATAACTTAGTCCTAACACTACTATTAACTCTATATATTGTGTTTTAGTGCATGTGATTCTCTCTGTTGTGGCACAATAGCTCATGGCCAACCCCACTGCTCTGATACGGCAGTTACAGTTGATAACGCCGTCCTGACCGACGGTGTCGCCGCGGAAGCTTGGCGTCCACTTTCTGGTTACCCCTCAGGTTAACTCTGTTAGCTGCTAGCCGCTGGTTTAGCTGTCACCATGTTGAGAGCCCTGTGGAGGCTGTAGATATGCTCTGAATTCCGTATTGACCAGCTTTAAAAAAAATACAAATAATGAATTACTTCCCGCTAATGGAATCTATCAATACAGATGGTTCGTGTTTTATTCATCCAGGTTTTGACATTTGTCTTTGAGATTTCTGCCTCCACCCCCATAAAATAGGCCTTTTTTCACTGAAGGCATTTTGACATTTATCAGTAGGAGAAGTATCTATCATAAAATTGCTATGTTATCAGTGACACCTGTGATGTCAGTGGAAGCGAAGATAATGTGTATATATATATATATATATATAGCTGTTGAAATGAACTTTGATGACATATGAGAGGTAAAACAGAAACAGCCCATCTGCACAGGCTGCGCTGCCCTGCGGTAACATAAACCGTTCCTAAAAACAACAACTAAAAAAAGATGAACTAAATGCTGTCAAGGCTGCCGTTACAGTTACAGCCTCGATGTTTCCCATGAGAAGCGGCTGGGGTGCAGGCCTCCAGTATTGGGGAACGGGTCTTTCTTTACGCAACCTTGACTTGTGGTGAGATTCCCCCCGGCTTATTGCTGGGACATCTGCCGGAAGGAGGCCAGCCACAGTGGGGATGTCAGGTTCTGTGCAGCAGCAGTATGAAGCCACAGGGCATGTCTGCACGCAACTGCTGGCCAGGGCCTCAACAGTCTGTTCACAGGCCTCACGCACACACCTTCTACTTCTCTTACATCCTTATGATAACCCTGACCCTACCATCAGCACTGCGTGTCTAACTTCAGCCCGACAGTAGCCAGATTCTACTGTGAACACCAAATCCTAATCACAGGGTGAAGGAAAACATGGCTGCAGCCTCTGCATTGTCCCCGACAGGTAGACCGGTGATTGGGTTTACCACTCAACGATGTGTACGCACTGGACTAGTCCACAGATCGATATTTCAACTGTGAGATTAAAAGAGATAACAAAAATTATAAATGGAACCTTATGCAGATGCAAAATAATGAATCGAGGTCAAGAAGAGAGCAGTAACTGTTATGGTGCAGGCTAAAGCCAGAAGATATTACTCCAACGCACAATACAAACATCACATCAATCATTCACAATAACTCTGGAGAACGTCAAATGAAATAATGGGGAAATGACAGGTTGAAAAAGCCAATTATTTCCAAGTTTTTTTTTGGTAAATAGGGTGAGGCAGAATACGGGCAGCATCGATTCCATAAACAATATAATGCTTAGTAAAAGTTAAACATTTAAATTTTAATGCGCTATCACAGGAACAAAATCTGACCATAGAAATACAAACAATTGGGCCCTTTTTCTGAAATCAGGTTTAGTGAAAACTCTGAGTTAGTTAACCATGAGATGAGAGAAACTCCAGAAAGATTAGAATTTCTCTAATGCAGATATATATTTTATATTGTTACAAGTGTATTTTACTATATTTTCATATATTATCTCTTTATACAGCAGTCCACAGGACAAGTTCTAGTTAACAAATAATTAATAAACACTTAAATTGGCTTATAGTGTTACATACTGCTTATAAATGCATGCCATGAAAATAATCCATTTTTCCCATGTTTTTATAAATCAGGCTATGAATATATGAAAAACCCTCAGTAAAACTTTCAGAATATAGAAAGGAATGAAACTGGACAGTTTGGTGTCTTTTAAAGATGTTTGTCTATCACGATCACTATGGAACTTCCCCAGTTGATTACTTATATAAAAGCAATTATTTTTTATACTGTAAGTTTTTTGAAAATGTATGTGTAAATATGCAAATAAGGCATTATCTAATGCTAACTCTCTAGCTCCTCTTCTGTGCAACCAGCTTTTAGTTTCAGTCCAGGAGGCAGACACACTCATCACATTTAAGAGTAGGCGTTAGACTTTCCTTTTTGACCTGGCCAGTTGGCTGGCTCAGGTTTATAGTTAGGGCTGGCTCAGGTTACCCTTAGACCAGCCCCTAGATAAGCTGCTATAGGCCTAGACTGCCGGGGGACTTCCTAGGATACACTGAGCTCCTCTTCTCGATCTCCTTCTGTATGAATTCATGTCCCAGTAACGCACATTACTAACTTTGATTGTAAAGCCCTGTAAGGCTAATTTGTGATTTTGGGCTAGACAAAATAAATTGAAAATTTAATTGAATTATTGTTTAATTACTATTACGTGAACATATGTGTCAACAGCAACATCACCAAGCATGAGTACACACTTCACGGGTGTGTTCTTATGGCAAAACATAAGCTTGGAGACTAGACATACTCATCGGGAATTTCTCCTGGTGATAAATCATGTAGTGTGTGAACCCCTGTCACCAGTCAGTCGTGTAGTGGGAAAATCAAGACTTCAAGACTCTAGATAAGAAGACAGCAAGATGTATGGTGTGAACAGTAAAGCGATCTGATCACTTTGAAAATCACGTAGTGTGAACTTGCCTTGAGGCTACATTCACACCAAATCAGGTGTTGTGGTAATTAATGCAGGGTTGTGCCGCAGTGTTGAAGTATCACTTTTTAACACCAAGCGACTACGAATGCCTTTCATTCCCACATGCCTGCGTTGTACAGCTCTGGATCGCCGGTTACATGATTGGCCATCGCAGCGAGATGTTGGGTTGCGTTTTTCTGTTTTTCAACATCCCCTGCGTTCCACGCCGCAGCTTAAACGCACTACCCACATTCAAATGAATGGGAAGACTGGCATTTTCAACACGACTGATTTGGTGTATGCTAGTCTCAAATTTAAAATTCCATCCTGTAGACATTGTTCAAGTGAGAAAAAAAAAACCTAGTCTGTTTTTTTTTTATTTTTTATTTCATGCAGACACCGCTGGTGTTATTCAGTGTGAACACAGTGGTACATTGCTACCAAAGTAAAAAGGCAACAAACCTTCTCATGAATCATTCATGTAAAGCATTCACAGAAATGTGTATGGCTCTCAGTTCATTAGTCAAGAGGGTTAGTAACTAACTGCCAATCATACTGCAAAGAGCAATAACCATTTGAAGTAAGTCATGTTTTAGATTTGAAGTTTGTTAAGTAAGTTTTAAGTATTGTAACCAGTGGACAATGACTGGTTAGTTTGCTTGGAGGTGGTTATTATACCCAGCAAGTGCTTTACACCTGAACATTCCAGTCACTGGAAAAACACCATCCGGGAGCGACCCTAATATCCTGCGGTCAAACAGACGTCCTCTGGGTACTGTATGGGTTTTCACCCATATATATATTGGAAGCAGTGAGTAGCAGGAGAGCTGAAGGCAGAACCCTGTGTTTGGTTTCTGGAAGAAGTGTGGCTTCACTCCCCCTTGAAGTGAGGACGCCTCTTATCCTTGAAGGCAGACAAACCTTCCAATCGATCTTTTGTTGGTATCACCTGAAAAACAATACAAAAGTGTCGGTACTAAAAGAGAGATCCTGCACAATTTTGTCCACTCATGTTATTTTGAGGAGTATAACCTTAATATAAAAAGAATGCACGTTAGCAGCAGCAGCTTCCGTCCTCCATGTGGGTCTACACAGGACGCGTTCAGGTACAGTATTGAGTGTAGGTCACCCGCATTTAATCTTCCTTCTCCAACTCTTTTCCATCTCCTCTAACGTCTTTGATCACCCCACTCCGTTCAACCGAGCAACTTTATTACTTTGTGAAGAAAAAAAAAAAGAAAAGATAAACAACATCCACTCCTCTCCACATCCACCTGCTGACTCTTCAGTTCCTCTTCTAACTTCCTTCTGATCCATCTCTCTCACCTCTTGACCTTATCCCCTCTCACCTTCTTCAGTCTATCACTCCTGACCTCCTTCCTTTCTCACCTAACTTCATTGACAGCTAGCTGTTCTCCTAAGACTCTAAAAACAGCTAGAGTGAACCATCTTGTAAAGAAACTCACACTTAACTTGTGATGTAAAGAATAACAAACGTGTCACGCTTTTTCCATTTCTTTCTAAAATACCTGAGGGTTTGGTTTTCACTCAACTCTCTGCATATCATCATCAAAGCAACCCTCTTGATCCCCACCAGTCAAGGCAGGCCACTCAACTGAGACTACATCCACACTAGTATGTTTCCGTTTTGAAACATATATTTTGCTACAGTTACACCCAGCGTCCACACTACTCCAGAGTTTTAGAGCATCTAAAACGAAAGAGTTTGAAAACACTGGCAATGGCGTGTACGTTTGGAAACTCTGGGGTTGTGTGATAGGGTGGACACCTGTGTTTGCTAATTGATTGGGTATTCATGCAGTGTGTCCAGCTGTGTTATCAGCCCTAAAAAGCAGATGTTTGGAAGTCACTACAGCTTTGAGGAGGGTGATGGTTCCTTTTCTAAGCAATGCTTATTTTAATCTGCACAACTATTGTGATGTCCACACAAAAAGTGTAAAGGAACAAAAGCATAAATGTTCTCCAGTAAGACAGAGACTTCAGCCACCAGCAGAGCTACGAGTGAGAACAGACAACAACAAAACCGAGAGGAAACGAGAGAAAGACGGGTTTTGACCAAATTTATTGACTCGTAATCTAGTAAAACTTTGATTTGTAAGTCTTCATTTTTAAAGTAAATTTGATGCGTGTGTGTGAACGAGAAAGAGCAAGACCTGCAGCCATGGGAGTAAGTTTAAAAAATAAAACTTGTCTGAGTATATAGAGGAAGATTATAAAGGAATATCTTAAGTATCAAGTCTGACCTTTTTTGTATTTTCTGTTATTAAGCAACCAATCTACTTCCTGTTTACACCAGCAACCGCATGCCCATTGCACATAAAATAGTTATGCGAGATTCGTTTTCAGGCGTGTTAGTATGGACGGAAATCATTTCATAAACGATGCTGAAACCACATGGTTGAATGCAGTTACTGTAAGTTGCTTTGGATAAAAGAGTCATCTAAATAAATGTGTTAAATGTCAATTAACTGTGTGACTAAGACTAACGGGTAACAATGTGAAAATAATATGTTGACACTCGAAAGTTGGAAACATTTTAAATATCCCTTCTTTTTCCATGTTTCTGACATGTCAGAGGAAATGATTTTCTAATCACTCACCTGGGCATAACACGCTTCTTCTATTGCCAGACCTGTAGATAAATCCACCTGAAAGAAAATGTGGCATGTTTTAGTGAATGATCTCACTGCACCTGAAAATGTTTTCACATTTTCTTCTCATGTGACTCAAGTCCTAAGGCTTTCTAGTTAACAACCATATGCTGCTGCATGTTATTGTTTCTCTGCTACACAACGTGACAGATATCCAGCCTGAAAGCAACTGGATTTCTATGCTCAGGAATGCCATCTTTAACCTGAGACAGCTCTCGTCAGCATCAACATACGTGTTTTATCTTAGTAGATTTATTCCTTTTTTCCGTCCACCATTTATATTAGTTAGGATAACACAGTCTGACTGTTTGTGTTTCTTGAACAGTGATGTCACCGTGTTATCAGATCTTAGCTATTAACTTGGTGTGTCCATCAGTGTTATGGATGAAACTATGAAACTACAAAAAAAAAAAAAAAAGAGCAAAGGTGTGATATACTGGAATCATCATTTAACCATCAGCCAAAAGTTTCAGTACTTCCCAGCCCAATTCTTTTTTATTAATGTTTTAATCCTGACTCTCAGTAAATGAGGAGTATTTAGCGACATACTATTAATAAGTAAAAAACAGAACACTGAGGAATATTGACTGCAAAACAAATCCATAAAGACTGGAGGTGTTTCATTTTTCCTGTCGGGGGGTGCAGCAGCAGTGTTGCTGGGGTGAGTGATCAGAGTATCTGCAGGGGAAGGTGGGAGCAACATGGCACATTTGTGGGAGAAGGTAGGGAAGGTCCAAACTCCTGTGGGACTGACAGTATTTTCCAAGTTCTTTGGCTTCATTTTCACAACAGAGCTTCAATTTGCAAAGCTGTTCAGCCAAACGTCCTCCCTCTTACCTTTAATCACAAAGTGATATACTTAAATATGAAGAGCAAAGCCATTGCTCACATGCTCAATTCACTAAATACAGCCACATTTTAGCACAGTGTTCAATTATACTGGCCATACAGATCACAAAATGAAGTCAATGTGTGTTTGCAACCAGGTCTCATTATTACACTGTTGTGAAAATGAGCCAAAGCGACCCTACAATACCATAAAAGCAGTCCTGCACTGACCTAGAACACTCACCTCTATCCCCTGGTTGATAGCCAGTTTTGCCATCCTTATTGCAATTGGACCCTGTGGAGCCAAAAAAAAAAAAAAAAAAGGAGCGTCAGCCTTTTAAAAAGGTTACAAGGATTCAAGTTGCTCTTGTGAATTGTTTTGAATAAGTGCAATCTAGTCATGACACTCATCACCGTTTTGTTTCCCCCTCAGTGTATAAATTAGTTTCCTTGATAAAGAGGTCTCGTCAGTGAAATTATCTTGTTACCTGAGGGTTGATCTCGCGAGCGAGCTCCAGAGCCCGCAGGTAGGCAGCATCTCCGCTCTCATTCTGCTCCACTGAATGATTGGCAAGACCAAGGCGACACGCCTCCGTTCCATCCACCACCCGGGCAGCAAAGATGAGCTCCTTAGCAAGAGAGACACTAATCACCCTGGGGAGGCGCTGTGTACCACCTGCACAGAAGTGAAGAGAAACCAGGATAGAACATGGCTTTAACCACAGACACTGTTTCTCAATGTGAAGCTTCTTTGACAGGGGCTACCATGCAAAGTGCCACCTGCCCATCAGGAATCTTAATCCCAGCACTGTCCTTATAGTGGACGGGCCATTCACACAGCAGTTGATGACCTCCCAAGGTTCCAATATCTTGGGAGCGTTGGTTCCAATCAACAGGTCGACACTTGCCTTTATGTTTAAGATGTGAACTTTTGACAAATACAGTGAGGTCTTCAGGTGTCACTGTTTTATCAGCAGTCATTTTCTTCTGTGTTAGAACATCTGGTAAAATATAAACGTCATTGCTATCCAGAACAGATACCTCCAAACCACTGAAGGTGGTATCTGGAACAGTTTCCTGCTCCACTGTCTGCAAAAGGAAGATGGTTCTGTTGCCTGTAATATCCAGCTTCTGCATGAGATGTTCTGAGCAGATTGTAGCTGGACTACCAGGATGGCACACTTTTTAATGTGATTTCTGATTTTATTGTTTGCAGGCCAAAGCCTTTTCCATGTAAGTAGTTGCAATTCTGTACCGATTTTCTTTTTAAAGAGTATCACAATACCTGCTGCAGTCCCTTGAAGTGCAGATGTTTGTATACAACACAAACATTCTTACTGGAAGACAAGAAATAAAAAGAATCCAGCCTTACCTGCTCCAGGAATAATCGCAAGTTTGGTCTCAACTAGTCCCATTTTCGCAGTATTGGCTGGGGAGATCAAAGGAGCAGTGTTACCACTTACACATAAATACTACTACTACCACCACCACTATGATTATAGATGTATTATAAGATTTAAAATACTAAATACATATTACTGCACTGTAACCACTCAGCTAACAAGACACTTCCTGCCTACTTTATGCATCAATAATGCCATTTCTAGGCATAGAGAGGGCTTTTATGACTTTCACAACCCAGAAACATATTGATCTTTACAAGCTAGCCAATTACACACTAAACTATCATCTGTAGTCCATGTGGAAATACAAGTTGTGACGCTAGCAACTTTAGCAACAAACGGTAAATGGACTTGCATGCATATAGGGCCTTTCTAGTCTTCTGACCACTCACAGCGCTTTACACTACATGTCAACATTCATGGATCTACAGACACATACACTGATGGCAGAGGATGCCATGCAAGGTGCCAGCTCACCCATCGGGATCCAAACTAATGCACAAGCAGGCCAGCTATTTGTGGTTCAGTATCTTGCCCAAGGACACTTCCACATGCGGACTGGAGGACCCTGGGATCGATCTTCTGATTAAAGGGCTACCCACTCTACTTCAGAGCCACAGCAGCAAATGACTTTAGGTGCAACAGTTTGAGGTTGCATTCAGTTGTAAGAAGCTGTCAACGATATTTCCTTGTTTTTTTTTTTTAAAAACAATGAAACCCAGTGGCTCTGTTCTGATTGTTGTGCTGATCTCTCTTGCTGGACCTGATCAGGCTTTACTGATCTGACAACAATTCTACAGCATGCTCAGCTGTGATGAAGACTCATAATAATGCCATATATGGGTTGTCTAGCACTTAAGCTAATAAGCTTAAGTGCTAGACAACCCATATATGGCATTATTGTTAATTAGCCTCATCATTTTACACTGTTAGCATTTCTACTGATTCTATTGCTCTGCCAGACAACAAAGAGCTGTGCACATAGACCAGAGGCCTTTATCTGTGACCTCCAAACACAGTCCACTGAGTCTTACAGGTAATTCTGATGTCACAAGCAAGGGCCATTTCCAAGCCTCCTCCTAAGGCAGCTCCATCGATCGCAGCAATTGTTGGTACCGGTAGGTTACCTGTAAAACAAAAGACAACAAAGTTCCCATCAAGACACATCAAATGTACTCATTAAACCAGGGGTCGGCAACCTTTATTATCCAAAGAGCCATTTTGCTCTATTTTCCACCAAATAAAATTTGTCTGGAGCCGCAAAAGCTATTTGATATCACAGCTTATAAAGTTTTGTATATAGTTATATTATTTATAAAAAAACAAAAAAAAAAACAACTACATTTTGTTGTATTTATGAAATTATAGAACAAGAATAAAGACAATTCTTGACAGTTTATTGCTATTTTACCTGTTCGAACAATATCAAACTCTTATGAAGAGGAGAGTTTGCTGCAGCAGTTGAGAAATCGCTCTTTGTCGCTCATCTCCAGCATGATACTTTTCAGCAAATGCTGTGTGCTTGTTCTGGAAGTGTCTTTCAACATTACATTTTTTTTGCACAGTCCAAGCATACAGGTAAGTCAGCATCGTTGGCAGTGAAAGCAAATGAATATGTCCACGCAGAATTAAACTCTCTATTTTCCTCCGTGACTTTTCTTTTTTTGGATTTATCCATAGATAGTTTACCGAGGGCGGGGGTCTGCAAATCATGATTAGCCACCTGCAGGGAAAGGCTCTTGACAGGTGTAATAGGATGTGACGCACATTTTAGGTGACAAAATATTAAAACATTTTTATTTAAGGTCAGGTACTACTGACCTTGTTGTCTTTACTAGCAGCTGTTGTCCAGTTAAAGTCTGCATTTCTGCGGAGGAAGCAGCTGTTATTAGAGCGATTAGCGAACAGTGTGTCCAGCGGTGTTATCAGACCTACGGAGCGGCGTCTGAAGTCACGTTAGCGGCTTTGAGCAACTAATCTACTTCCTGTTTACACCGGCACCCACCCGCATGCCCAGTATACGTGAATAGTCACGTGATATTCGATTTCAGGCGTTTAAGTCTGGACGGAGATCATCTAGAAAACGATGCTGAAACACCGTGTGAACGGAGATCGTTTAAAACAAAAACGTATTAGTGTGGATGTAGACTCAGGGAGCCGCAGCAGAGGGGCTGAAGAGCCGCAGGTTGCCGACCCCTGCATTAAACCAACATCATCAGACTACAACTCCTCAATTACAAATCCAACTTGTCTGATGTCAATTACAAATCTGACATCAGACAGAACTCGTTATACAGTTTCATCTTCAGTCTGACATTGCCTTCACTCTTATCGATTTCCACTGGTCGATTTTAGCTAACCAATCACCAGAGACCCACGTCTATGGAAACATCATTTTAAGTTGGCAGGTGATGAGGTACTGGAGTGGAGCAAAGCTAATTAAAAGAGAAAGTTACAAAAACATAACGAGCCTACAATGTCTGGGTGTATCTACAAGACATGTGGTGTATGTATAGATATATATAAATAGATGCATAAACATGCATCACCGTCTATTTTGTAGAACACATTAAAGTCATCGAATATTCAATGAATTCATTAACAGTCTGAATTTCATCATGTTTTTTAGCTCTTTACCCAGCTCTGTGATGAGTGCTCTGGCTTTGGACACAAATGGTCCCACTTCACTCTGATGCATCTTGGCCCTCTCCTTCAGGTCGGCCCCTGCACAAAGAGACAAAGCACCATGAAGCCAGAGGCCTGTGGCTTCCTGAAACAAGAAGCAGAGGAGTGCAGCGTGGTCCGTCGTTCAGAGCTCCACCATCAAGGTTTCTGAATATAAAGCTGAATACAGAATTCTCTCTACTGGATCGATACCTGCTCAGCATTTCAGAGTAAAGATCTCAATATGAAACATTACACACAATATTATACACAACATTATGCATGAAGTTTGGACTGGCAAAATGTCTACAACTAAGGACCCAGCAGGGAAAATAAAGGACATTAAAAACAGCAGATTCCACAGTCAAAGTCCCTCCAAATGAACAAAGAGAGAGTACCTGCACAGAAGATCCCTGGAACCAAGCTGCATATAATGACACTGCGCACTTTGTTATTATTCTTGATATCCTCCACAGCTTCACACATCTGAAAGACAGTTTTCAAATAAAAAATACAAAAACACAATTTCTCAAAATGTTTTACGATTTAAATGTAATAAAAACAAAACTCATTTTGTAATAAAAGAAGTTACAAAATAATGAATAAACAGCATATTTCAAGCAAAACTCAGAAATTTTACAAGATCAGAAAAAAAAACTAAACCGGAGTACATGAGGAGAGTTAAGAGGTACATGAACATCAGCCCAGCTTCACCAGTGATACAAATTATTGTTAAATAGATATGTTCAAATAAATACACGGTAAACGGCAATACATACCATTTTGACCAGATTTTTGCTGATGGAATTTTTTGCTTTTGGTCGATTTATCCCAACAACGACAATACCTGAAAGGCAGAGTCATATCATACTGATTAACTATGACACAGTAATGTAGATCATCTCATAACATGAGACAATACAATAAATCGTTATTGTCCACAAGGGTGGAAATGTATTTTGTGATGATGTCACAACTGGAAAACACAAGCATCTTCTACCAACATCACTTCATGTAAACTGTCCCTGCAGCATGCAGTAGACTTCAGTACAGCATATACGATGCTAGTAACATGATAATACTAGCATATTGATTTGGCAGTTGGTGTAGAAACCACACACTTAAACATTTTTATACTAACACCATATTATAATAAATACAATACTGATAACAGCGGTCAGACATCAATACAACTGTAATTTTAGAAAGTTACTGCCAACTGATATTTACAAAGAGAGTTAAATGTTTCCCCAGAAATGTAAGTCATGGGGTGTTCCTGGATCTGTCTCACCACCATCTACAACTAGTTCATATGAGGCACAACTGGCTGATTTATCATGTAGGCTGATCCTTTGTGTTTTATGTTTTTAGTGTATAGCTTTTATATATGATGATTTTAATGTAAAGTGTCTTTGAGTATTCTGAAAAGCTCTCTATAAATAAAATGTATAATTATTATTGTCTCAGGTCTGCACCTGTAGACATGAACAGAGCTAGATGCTCTACTGTTATTTCTTGAGGTTTATTTGTGTCACTTTGAAATAAGAAGAGGTGGGACTTGCTATCACGTAAAATGGTGACGTCAACACGTACACTCTGACGATAAGCAGGGCTCCCTACTAGCGTCGGGATGGCGGACTGAGTCCCTACACCGTTTCATAAGAAATGTAGTGCTATAGGGACTTCCATTTTGACGATATCAACCGTTTCTCCACAGACACAATTTGCACGGACTCTGGGCGGGACTTACCGGCGTCTTCTCCGTCCAGGTGTCTGACTTGCAGGTCCTCCTTCGGGTCCGAGCTGTAATGTCGCGCTCCGTAACCGTTAAGGCGAGAGGAAGGCGAGACTTTACCGAAACCGACATACTGTCTCGAGCAGGAGAGGCTGCGCGCACTCTCTCGACCCGTTGCCTGCACGCGGGCGGCTTGAAACAGGGCTCTGCGTCCTACCTGGACCGCCATGACTAGGACTTTGGAGGAGCAGTAGTGTCACTTGACTTTCAACTTTCAACCCAGTCACGTGTTGGCATCACGTGACTTATTTACAGAGCGTACGTGCGACACGAGACAAATACCACAGTATTGTTATTGAAGTACTCAGATCTTTTACTTAAGTAAAATATTCTAATACTGTAGGATTTAAAGTCCTGCATTCAAAACCTTACCAAAGTGTGAGTACAAAAGTATTAGCATCAAAATATACTTTGAAGTACCACAAGTCAAAGTGCAGAACGATATAACAATATACACTAATGGATAATATTTATTGATGCATTCATGTTCTTTAGTGTTGCAGCTGGTAAAGGTGGAGCTAATATGAATTACTGTATATACTGTTGGGTAACCTAATATATAATAATACATCCTAATTTATTCGTTGATTATTTAATTTTATATTAATAATATGAATCTGCATGCTAACTAGTAAGAAGTTTTCAAATAGATGTAGTAGAGTAAAAAGTACAATATTTCGCTCTGAGATGGAGTACAAAGTCGCATAAAAGGAAAATACTCAAGTAAAGTACCTCAAAATTGTACTCAAATACAGTCCCTGAGTAAATGTATTTAGTTCCATTTTGCCACTGTTTGTAACAGATTTGTTGCAAAATATATGAATGGCTTGAAAAAGATCAATGTTACCTTAGAAGTGTTTCATAAATAAAAGTATGGATTGAAACGTGGGTGTGTGCTCTCTATTCCGCAGGTCTCATGATGGAGAAATAACTGAGCAGAACTTTACACTTCAAACTTGGGCTTCAGTCAGACTTGCACTTTGGAAATAACTTGAGACCCACAGTTGTCAGCAGTTAGATCTGACTTGAGACCTGACTGCCTGATGACACGACTTCAGAGGTGACGGCAAAACAGCCAAAATGTCAGCATCACATTTATTAAACTGTCAAATATCAATATTATCAGCCTCAAAAACCCAGCAAACCCATGTGCTCTTAGATTTGGATCATGTGAAAAAATAAATACACAGAAAGAAACATACTTGATTCAGTGACAAGACATTTATTGTAAACAAAAACTCACCATTACAAGAAATAATACAAGTGTTCAGAAACAGATAGCTGGAGTTATCACCATCCTCACTGAGATATTCCAAACTATGACAACTAATGCACGCACCATTCTTCTGACAGGAACAAGGGAATGCACTTGAATATCAACTAGGGTGGTCTGAAGTCAGCCATTTAAAATTGACTACAGACGGTGGAGGTATGATGTAATCCTCCCAAATCGCTGTAAGAAATTAATAAGTATGCCATTTGATTAACCTCAGACACTTCTGGATTCCATATCAGTTAATAACACAAGAAAAAACAACTGTTTGTGTATAATTCTGAATCTCTGGAGATGTTTTGTTGATACAAATGTACATTTTCTAACATTTGAGGATTTAATGTGTTAGAATATCCGTCAGAGCTTTATAAAGTCCAGTTACTCTGTTGTCAGCTCCATCAGATGGTAATCACAACTGTCCAGCCACTGTGATTCTTAGTTAACCAGTGGCCGGGAAGGTTGAAATAATCAACAAAAAGCAAATAAAGAACCAAAGAGAAGCAATGGCTATTTGGCAAATAGTGAACCAGTGCAGCAGAGTGTATATAAATGTGACACTAAGCTCAGGTTAAGTCAACATGTGTAGCTCTCTGTGTTTTAAAACTACAGCAGAGACAAGAATACAGTATTACTGTGCTGATGAAAGTATTCAGCATTAAAACAATCAACTAGTACAAGAGAGAACACAAATGCTGTATTTAGGTCCTGATTCGTAGACATTTTCATAAAAATAACTAATTTGGTATTAAATATGGGGCAGCTAAGCTGTCCTTAAAGAAAAGCTCAGGGAAACAATTTATTCATTTCATATTGCAAACCTATGTGTGAAATTCCATAGTTTAACATGCTAAACATGTAGCTGACCTGCTGTACACGGACTATTTAACCTCTAGATTACATTAGCAGTTAGTGTAAAGACCTATTTCCCGGTACTTAGTATCAATGTACACTGTTCTTTCCAGGAAATGTTTTACAAATAATTCAGAAATTATAAACCCATGAAATAAAGATCCTTTTAAAGCAGAGTGTCACCACACCAACATACAAACGGATAAATTAACCAAACTACATTAGGTACATGTGTGAAGATGAACAGCTGTTAACTGGAGCCTTTAGTTGCAGAGCGGCGTTCAGGACACGGATGGACAGAGCCTGTGACAGCATGAATAATTAGGTAAAACTAAGAACTTCACACATTCACACACTGTTCAAAAGTTTGGAAATGCTTGCCACACATACTTGATTGGGTAGTCAGACGGCTGAGAGCACTATTCTATATTTGTCAATGTTCTTTCATGCCTTTAGTTGAAGTAAGTTGTCTTTACAAATAGATCTGATTTTGTAAGAAGGGTTTCCAAAAAAGCCATGTTTTGGACACGGAGACAAAGCGCTGTACAAAGGGCCGACTATCCTGATGAAGGATCCCTCTGAGCAACAGTTACAGAAGAAATCTTCAGTCATTAGTAGAAGAAGCTGCACATTGGAATGGGAACAGGTTCCTGTTTCAGTGTCAAGTGCACAACAATGCCTACAAAGAGCTGGAATTAACAGGAGAGTTGCTAAAAAAATGCTTCATTTTGAAGTTTGAGAACATGGTTCAAATGGTTACAACAATATGGTCCCCACTGTGTGGAAGTCTACTACTTGGAAGTTTGAATCATTTCATTCTTCTTTTTGGACTAAAAGTATTTCAAATGTGTCTTTTTATATCTGTTAAAATAGCCATTATTGAAGGAAAGAAAAAACACTAATATAACAGGTGATTCCAAACTTTTGAACAGTAGTATTTATATATATATATATGTATATATATACATAATATACACACACAAACACACAAGATTAGAACTATATTTGATCATAACTAAAAAGCCTCCCTGCTCTTATCCGCTGTTTTCATTTGCTGATAATGCATTGGAACCTGTTAGACATGGAAGCACATAACACTGAATGAATTCAGTATAATCTATATTTCAGCACTAACATGATCAGTAGAAGAGAGTCGTGTCATGCTCACCACTCTGCTGCTGTCACTCAAAGAAATCAAGTTTTCAATCACAAATGAATTCCAGTCACTTTCAGCTTGAAGTTTGTTACAGTAATGAAATGCAACTTTTCCTGCACATTAAAAACCTTTACGCTTCCTTAAGGTAATAAATTGTAAAAAAGAAGTTGTGTTTCTACTTAAAAGGACATAATCCTGGTAGGCTTTCAATCTAAAAAATGAAAGAGGTCAAAAGAATGTGAGTGAAAATCTGTGTTACAGGAGAAACTGAGGAGCAGAGTGGTGAGGATGACATGACTGTTGTACTGAATTCACCATGTCAACTATTACAGGACAGGTCATTTTATTATTAACCAGCCTATATTAGTGAACAGCCTTTGTTCATGCTCCAACAGCTAGTATTTGAAAACGTTTTATTTGCAGTAATCGAAACATTGTTTAACCCCAATATCAACCACACAGTGCAACAACAAATACAGTGAAATGCAAAAAATACAAAAAGGTCATGCAGAGGACCATCGTTTTGATGATGACTCATGATGGTCAGCGGGATTTTTGGTTGACCCGATCACAGACCCTTGCTGTGCTGTGATCGGTCTTTTGAGGGAGGCCATCTTCACAAACATTTCAGCAGGGCCCTGTATTAGAAACCAGCCGGCGGCGTCCGAGTGTTCTTTTACCTCCGCAGTGGTTGTATCTGAGACGGGGCTCATGATCAGCCTACTACTCTGGCAGCCATTCTGATGTGTCTCTGTGCTGTTCTTGTGCCACTGCTCAGACTGATGGGTCCAGTCTTGCATGTTGGTGACCTGTAATGACAAAGGGCACGGGGAGGAGTCCTGAGCGGTCTGGCAGCATCCTCCCTCTGAACCTCTGACGGGTGAGGAGGACTTCCCAGAGGTCTCGTATTCAGGGTCGATGGGCTCCACTTTGATTTGGACGGTTCTGGCTTTGATCCGCAGTTTATGGGGCAAAGCTGAAGAGCTGGCCTCTGGCACTTTGTGTGTGCAGATGATGACGCTGCTTGGATCGGCTACAGCCGGCGTCAACCCTTTGGGGACCTGCTGCTCGTCCTCGCCATCTGATGACTTACTTACGGCACCGTCGTCCGAGCTCCTGGGCGAGTTACTGGATGACCTGGTGAGCTGCAGGAATGAAGCAGGCTGGGAGTAGACCCCAGACAAAGGGCTGGCCATGTAGTTTCTATAGAGTTCGTAGGGACTGCTAGTCTCTTGTGCATAGTTGCCGCTCTCCGCTGCTTCCTGCTTGACATCTGCAGTCCTACAGATACCAAAGTCGCCCTGAGCTGCAGTACAAGTCTCGGGCATGTGAGGCGAATGCTTGATGACTGATATGCAGCTGCTGCGCAAGTGATGAGGCTCCAAAACCCTGCTGGAAGAACTTTGGCCAGCATTGGATGGAGCAAACTCCTGGTAGAGGTTGAGATTGGCGGAGCTGGATAAATTCTGGACTTCTTGGGCGTACGCTGCCAAGCTCACGAGGCCAAACTTCAGCTTCAGTGACAGCAGCTCAGCCTTGAGGGAGGCATTTTCCTCTCCGAGGTCCATCAGCTTGTTCTCAAGAACCATGTCATTTATGCGGCGCTTCTCCCTGGAGCGCTTGGCTGCCTCGTTGTTTTTGCGACGCCTCTCCCAGTAAAGGTTGTCTTTCCTCTCCTCCGGGATAAACTCTCTTTTCCTGCGACAGGAAGTTTTAGCCTTGAATGGAATTTCAGAGATTTGGTGGCCCATCATGTCTCTGCTAGCCCCTTGTAAAGCCAGGACCAGGGCATCCTCTCCACTGTAGGGCTCAGCGGAGTCCACTTCTTGCTTGATTGATTGCATTATCACTGTTGGCTTCTGTCAATATGTTCATAGGTCTTTAACTGTACACCATCATGCTGGAATGCAGCAATAGTAACTGCCACATCGTATTAATCCACTTGAGTTGAGAAAATCTGTGGAATAATAGACAATGAGAGAGGTTTAGATATCATTGTCAAGTTAAAACAAAGTTTCAAGTTCAAGATAAGGAATGTATTTCCATGAAGTTATTGTGTCCCCTATATGCATTCATCAGCGGCGCTGCTAAATGATTTGCCAAACGCAATGAAATATCTTCCAGCAGCCGCTAGAAAAAATATATTTTTCTAGCAGCTGTATATCTGACTGAGATCTGTTTCTCTTACTGACAGAGTGAGAGGCGACTGACACTTGTCCTTTAACACTCTCTCTCTCTCTCTCTTTTTATGTGTGTGTGTGTGTGAGAGTGTAAGTGTATTAATATTAAATGAAGTTTAACAAGTCACTTTCCAAAACAACAATGCCGTCATTGTTTTAAAACTTAAAAACGTATCACTTGAAGTATAGTACAACCAAAGCTTGGATCCTGGTACTTCAACCCAATTTGAGTCCTATTCAGAGTGTTTGGAAGCTTGTTTCATCTTTCTATTTCTCCTGCCCTCCTCTCCTCTCCTGCCCTCCTCTCCTCCCCTGCACACTTTCCTCTGCCCTCTCCTTTCCTTCCCCATCCCTATGTTCGAGTCATGTCCCTTCTCTGTCTATCAAGGTAAACAAACAAGCATATAATATATACATTTTTTTCAGTGACAGAAACTAACTTACATTTTTTAACAAGCTGAGACTCGCGCACACACACACACACACACACACACACACACACACACACACACACACACACACACACAGATTTGTGGGTAGAGTAACCGACATGCAGCCCATCAACAACAACGTATGTGCTGAGGAAGTGGACGAGATGATCGATGGCTGACTGTTTAGTTTTCACAGATGCTGAGGTGGAGAACTAAAGCAAGATCGCTGGAGTGAACACGTATTGATTTATCTTAATTTATATTGAAGTCATGATGAATTATAGTAAATGGGGTGATGTTTAACAAAGCATGTACCATTCAAAAAACTACGACTGTCTGTGTGAGTAGTGCGCCTGCACAGATTCTGTGTGTTTGTAAAGCAGTGAGCACACGATTTACTTCAATTCATCAAGACTTTTCTCCATTTTTGGATTCTCCGTTCACTGTGGAGGCACGACTAAAAACTAAGTTCTCTTAGAGAATCCAAGTAACACAATATTTAATATTTAATATGTTTTACTCTGTTATTTTATTGTATATATTGTGCATTTTTCATACGTAATATTTTTATTTTTACTAACAAATTTCCCCCTGGGGATGAATAAAGTACATATCTATCAATCTAACTGATATACAAATGGTGCTTTAGTGGGTGAAGTATTCCTTTAAATGTATCACCTTACAGATGACATCTGCATACAGTTTTAAACTAATTTCTACCCTCAAGTTTAAAATAATTGTTTTAAGTGGAATCCTACTTCCACAGCTCCAATACATCCAGAGTAGAAGAAGGAACAAAGGACTACAGACAGCTGTAACCGTAATACGTGGCCCGGCAGAAGCTTGAACACAGAAACACACAGCCTGTAACCTGAGGACACAGTCCTCCTAACACACTCCCACAGAACTAAACGTGAACGATGACTGCTGCAGAAAGATGTTGCTTTATGGAAAGAAAGTTCATTGTAGAAGGTAGAAGGAAAGGTCTGGGGGGTGAAATGTCCCAAATACATGTCTCGCACAACGTTGTGTCCTCATTTTGTCTCCATGAAGGAGTTGATAAAGGCAGAAACATGATTACTACATGTCACATAGACTAATGTTCAGCCTGCTACGTTTCCTATGGAATGGACTGAATGAGATTAGGAGATGTAATATGATCCCAAATACACTTTGGTAGTCTCCAAAGTGTTAAAGCTCAATATTACCATTTAAAATAAAAAAAAAACAGCCATAGGTGACAGATCCACTCTTTGGTTTGATTTCTTTGGTCTATTTTGACAGATGTACATGGATCGTTTCTAACGAGGCAACGTATGACAGCAAGACTAAATTTGGATCACACGTGGTTAAAAATGGGTGGTAAAATTACCGCAACGTGAGAGCTCGATTGGGGGGCAGCGAAGGAGGTCACCGTCGGTTCAGCAGAGACTGAACGCGCACTGAGGGATCGGGCGCGAGCGGACACGTCCTGTTGTCCCAGACTCCTTCATTGTGTCCGGACAACACAGTCGACTCTGCGGCCCCGGAATACGACTGCCAGCTTCTATGGCTGCAGACATTATCAGTGTTTGCCGGTGTGGAAACAAGAATAAGAGCCAGTGTGTGCTCTGTGTGTGTGCTCTGCGTGTGTGTGCGTGTGTATAAGTTCAAACATCTCGTAATAAACACTGAATACGTGTCTGTAACAGGCTGTGCCGAGACAATGTGGGCATTCACTCTGTTGACATCACTCATGACACTGGCGGTTATCTACGCCCTAAAAAGTAAGCCATGATGATGTGAGGTCGGATAAACAGCAGCACACAACACGCTGTTTGTTAACGCTACTTGGGTCAATAACATGGACTCACCACAGCGGCAGCAGCCACACGGCTCTGATAACGTTACGATACCGCCAGCCACCTAGACATTCTGGGTATATAACAGTGTCGCAATCCGTAAACTCCTAGACTCCAAAGGGCCCAAAGAGAACGTTACGTGCACGAGAATACGATCCGACACGTCTCATTTACCAGCCATTATCCTGCTTTTATCAGCTAATGCTTACGCACGTATCGTTACGTTACAATAACAGCCAATAAAGAGATAATACACATTCACCTCGAACTTGAGCGGTGTTTCTACCTTTGCTGTGAACCTCAAACGTGACTGTTCTAAATGTGAAGTGGGTTTTATTGACGTTACGCAATAAAACACAGAGGTTAACATTAGCCACATGACACGGCGTTAGAAGATAACGTTAGTTCTGCGCCGCTGAGATTCTGGGACGTTCTTCCGAACGCAACAACACCCTCTCTCTAAGAAGTAAGAATAAGGTCAGCTTCATTTTAACCTCAAATACAAACTGTAACGTTACCTGTCTATCACCTGGCAGGGGGTTTGGTCTGGTGTTCCTCCGCGTAACTCGCCCAGAGAAGAAGGGAAGTTTCCCATCAGCTAATAAGGAAATAACTGTGGATGAAATCCTACAAGTTGCGAAGTACCTGGCTCTCCTCCCTCGGCTTCTTCCTCTCAAGGTGGCTGCAGTCAGAGCCATGGATCTGTGTTAGTAGGTCAGCGGTTAAGTGCATTGGCAGCTTGAAATTGAACGACAGCTACCGTAGCCAATCGGAACGCGGCATTGTCCAATTTTAGCCAATGACTCTTGGCCTCAACAGAGAGCTCAAATCGCATATAAACTGCATGCCGTCATCCACAGACCGCGTGGGGTTTTTAGGTGCGTCGATTTTACGAAATCCTACAGAGGCATTTAATGTGTCACTGCTCCTGCTAATACACAAACCAGCACCTTTCCAAACAAAGTCTAACATATGTACAGTAAATTGGTAGTATCTGCACTACAGTCATTTATATGAGGGCTTGTACTATATAGTCAGATATGTGGTCACATTATATTGATTGATTTTATATCTAATATATCAAATGTTGTTTGATCACTGCGTGTGATTTAATGAATACACTTATGCAACTAGCTGCACTACTACGATAATGAGTATTATTCAAGTATAATTAAAATGTAGAAGAATTACAAACATGTTGAAACAGTTTTACATTATTTAATGAATTTGGATAAAGTGAGACAATACAAACAAAGATGTAAAACAGGCAAGTGGGAAATCTGAATTTCTCAACAGAACAAGATAATTACAAAGACAAAAACATTTATGAAAGTAACAAAATGCATAAATCGTCTGAAGAATTTCACTTCGATCTATTGAAATAGACTCTGCAATATAATATGCAGCATCCTTCTGAAATATATATTTTTTGTGCATGTGTGCAGCCCAGCTGGAGTCTGCTAAGACAAGTGGCTGCTGGGGGGGGGTTCCAGCCAATTCTGTGTTGTGTTGCATCACTTCATTTGCTCATTCTGCAAAACACCTCTAGGGCTCACTGTTGGATAGCTGGTGTACATTTAGGTGCAGCTTGTATCTGGAGTTCAGAGTTAAGATGGCTGCTGTATTACAGAGTCTCTGCCCCACTGTGTTCTCATGCCCTGTTTGAATGTGAGCACCAGCCATCGCAGCCTATCACTGTTCCACATTACACTCACACACAGGGTGACCTTTACATGAGCCCGTATCAGAGGATTAATGGTGGAGTATATCCTCTCTAACAATCATTTTCTCCTCAACTTTTCCAAGCAACACAAAACAACAACATACAAAGAACAACAACGGTATAAGAAGCTACTGTGTGACAAATACACGTCAAACATTCAACATTCATAAGGAACCATGTATTTATGGCTGCACCCTGCCATCAAATGGAGATACTTTAGCTGTCTAGTGCCAGTGTTCAAAATACAGGGTATTGACACAGCTACATTTTAGTGCAGGGGTATTCAATTAAAATTCCAAAAGGTCCAGATTGAGAAAATCTCCTCGGGCAAAGGTCTGGAACTTTACAATAATATCTAACTCACGCTATTTAGTATTCAAGAAGCCTAGTAGTAACGTCTCTGTGTAGTCAACAACTGTCAAATCAAATAAAGAAAGTACACATCAATTATATTTTAACAATTATTATTCTCACTTTTCAAATTTAACTGGATGGACTATAAATAATACATAAATAAATGTTCTTCTCATTTCAAGTAAAATAAGAGCTGGATTAAAAAATAACTGACATAACAGAAAGCTTTTCAAAAATGTGCATCTTAAAATAAAGTAATTCATTTTAGAAAAATGAATTTCACTGAATTGTCCTGCAGCTTTAAATTCAGTTCATTCAGGTGTGACGTGATGTCAATAAAAACAGCCACAATATTATATTTTTCTCATCTTCTAAAAAGAGAAATCAGTGAGCATGATCTTTATCTGTGGTTATTAAACCACTTGTTTCAGCTCTATTGTCTCTGTTAACATCATTGTTGGGCAGTGAATTCATGTGTTCGGATTCTGATCATTTTGGGCTCTTAGGTTTATTTTCTGTGACTTAATTTAGATGTGAGTGGGTACGTTTGCTCAAAAGAGTTGTGCTTTGTCTCGTGGTGCGCTTTTATTACCGCTTTAAATAATCGTCCCGGTCTCTAAACATGTGAGACACACTGGTTATAAACTGTCCGTGTGAAGAATAAACCTATATGAGTCTGTTCATTCTTGGTTAAAGACTGTGGTCTCTTTGACCACTTTTCCGTCTTTGGAGAACGTCATGTGAACTAACCTCTCTGACTCACGTATTATTCTCCTGCTCTTCCTTCTCTTCCCTCGTCTCTCCCCCGGTGTGTGTACATATCACTCGAATCAGGAAACTTGTCAGAATACCCATATTTGATTGGCTGAGCTGCATCACGTGATGCGATTTACAACGCATTGGTCGGTGTGTTTCCCGCACCGCTGAACAAGTGCCATAAAGGCTGGAAAAGCTGCGCCGGTTAAAATAGAAGCGATCTGTCAAAATAAAATCGATTTTAGGTCCTGGGTCCGGATACAACGGAGTCTGGGTCCGGATCCGGACGCGGTCCGCCAATTGACGACCCCTGTGAGTCTCTGGAAAACTCTTGAAAAAAATGTGTCACTTGCAATTGTCACTTGTCTTTGAAAGGCACTATCGTTATTTATTTATTCCCAAACATGAATAGTGAGTGCAAGAGAGGATTTCCCACTGTAAGTGACAGTGACACTACCACAACAGGCTGCACAAAGACATCTTCCTCACTTCTGTTTGTGGACCTAAAGGAACCCCTGTTGGTGAAATTTGATCCAATGTCATTAGTGAGGTTAAAGCAGGACATCGTACGTCCTCTTCTGGGGTACCAGGACTGCAATGAGAGCCACGGTCTGTGTGTCGGGCTAGTGAGAGAGCGTTCTGTGGATTCACATTTTGCATGTTTCACCGGAATTCTGCCTCATGAAGCAATCAAGTATTTATACAAATTTAGTATCTAAATTTAGTATCTCAAATGCAGGATTGGGAGGTGAAGTTTAAAAAAGTAATCTTTTTTACTGTCAGAAAATCAGTAACCTTATCCAACTATCAACTGTCAACCCAAGTAATGTAATCTGATTACAATTTTTTGGATTACCTCGATACCAAATATGCAAATAAGGACAAGAAAAAACAAAAATGCTGATATTGCGACGATATTTTGCATGTAAAGCAGAAAATGGAAACTATGTTTTTGCATTGGATTGACACAGGCAGAAACAGGTTGTTTTTTGTTTTTTGAATTTAGGGCAAAAAACAAAAAAACTGAAATTCAGCTTGATTTCTTGTTTTCTGTTCTTTGTGACGAAACAACTTTACCAAATTTATTTATGTATTATGTTATTAAAAAACGGCAACAGATGGTAACAGGCAATATTTGGTAAAGTTGTCGTGAGATCTGATCTTGTCCATATTGCCCAGCCCAGGACTGCTTGAAGTGCATTGATATGATGATGATAATATGTAACTGATGTTACACAAGCCATGTGATGATTTGCTTAGATTATTTAGGCAAGGGTTTCCCCAATCAAAGGGCTCTGGGTGGATGCCCAAAAATAACTGCCAGCTGATCTTTAGCCAGAGGCTGCAGGCTGCTTTGGGAAGTGAGGACCTCTTTTACACGAGGGTCACTGTTTGGCAAAAAAAACTCTTTTCCACAGTGGAGCACCAGGCAGCAGCTGAACAACAATTTGCACACCACTATTGGGACATTTCTCTACTCTCTGACAATGCTGTTTACCGTGGCGTTTTCAACGTGGAATTAAGGACTTCGTAGACCACGTAAGAAGACATTTGTGAAGACATGTGCCTCTAGTGCAGGGATGAACGTCCTGTGTCCTGGTGGACTGTCTGCAGCCCTGGACCTTTTGAGCTCCCTGCCCTAAAGAGGACAGCAGTTCAGTTTAGTGTGTTCACCTTCTATGTGTTCTGAGTTGAATTAAAAAGATTTCAGGTATGTCTTTCTGTGTCTAACTGGAAAGATTTCAGGTAATGCCTTTCTGTGTGTTTAGAATTCAGGTGTGTTTAACTAGAAAGACTTCAGGCACTGTCTGCAGATGTGTTTGATGTTCACTTTTGAATGATTTAAAAATACTTTTTGTACTGTGTATCAGTTGCATATTTAATACATGTTTAAACACAGGCAAACATACAGATACTCCTTTTTTTACACACATACAAGATATTATTTATTTGCTGAATTTCAAAGCTACGGATATAATTGTGCTAAATGACAATATAAGGGCTGCAAAGGTCCAATGCCCCTTTTTTCCTACTCAGATTCGGCTAGTTAGGAATGTAGTCATTCTGCTTGAGTAGACATGAATACTAGGGGGTTCTTTAAACTAGACCGTTATCAGGTAGGGTGGATCTCTAACCCATCTCCAGATTTACACTGTGTTTTGCTAGTTATCAAGTAACTCCATGTGATGACAGCTGAAGCAGGCTACAGTGCAGGGAGAGCTTGATTCTATCTGATACTGAGATGTCCCAAACCCATTTACTGCACAATAGTTGATGCTTCATATGACACTCACTGACCCTGGAGATTATTCACTGAATAAACTAATTGTTTTTTTTTGTCTAGCTGTCAACATATTACATTTATAGTACAGACCTATCAATATGTACACACAGTGTGACACCTACTGGTCTTGATTTGTAGCTACTTTTGGAATGCTTGCTGTCGGTTCTATGCCATTTCTACAGACCTATATATGTCCTGAAAGAAATGTAATGAAGTGCTTTCTTTTTCAAAATAAACATGACGCGTTACAATCACTCAGCTGCACTGAACAGGCAATACAATACAACGCTGTTGCATTTTCTTATAATCCATGCACCAACGGAAAATGAATAAAAACCTTTTTGTTGTCATTGTAGGTTATAAAACAAAAT